GCCTCAACCTCCTGAGTGGCTGGGATTACAGGCACCTGCCACCATGCCCAGTTAATTTTTTGTATTTTTAGTAGAGACAGGGTTTCACCATGTTGGCTAGGCTGGTCCCAAACTCCTGACCTCAGGTGCTCCGCCTGCCTCGGCCTCCCAAAGTGCTAGGATTACAGGCGTGAGCCACCGAGCCTGACAAGAGACACTTCTTACATGGTGGCGGCAAGAGAAAAATCAGGAGGGAGCAAAAGTGGAAACCCCTGATAAACTCATCAGATCTTGTGATACTTATTCACTATCATGACAATAGCATTGGAAAGACCAGCCCCCATGATTCGATTACCTCCCCTTGGGTCCCTCTCACAACACATGGGAATTCCGGGTGATACAATTCAAGTTGAGATTTGGGTGGAGACACAGCCAAACCACATCACACGCATTGTTCCTTTTTCCTGGAATTCCTTTCTTTATTTATTTGTGAGTATGGAGATGGATTTTACTAGTCAATTAGTAAACCAAGTGAAATAAATAATGAGATTGAATAAATCTCACCCTGGCATTTGGTCTCATGATTTCATCTAGTAAGTTGTTAGATAACATTGACTGGGGGCTGTGAAACAGAAGAATTTTAAAAGAGTCCCAAAAGATGAGCAACAAATTACAGCTGGCTTCTGTATCACCTAAGCCATTCCAGTTGAAATTCGTGACCTACTTTGTCTTACATTCTGTTGCCATAGTGCCTGGGTTAAATGTGTAACAAAATAAAATTGATTTCCAGTGTAAATCTTAATTTTTATTGTGCCCTGCAGTGCTGCATGAATGATGCATGTGTGATAAGCCTCACATTAGAAGATTCTTGGGGGAGTTTTGAGATTTAAAGTATTATGGCCTCTATCAGTGGTTATTAAAATAATACATTTTCTGTAGATGTGTATCATTTTCTTAAAGAAGTTAGTGACTTTATGAATATCCTTAGGCACAAAGGGAACAGGTTTTTCTGACTGCTTCAGAAGCAATCCCCAATTTACGCTGGTCACATAAGTGTTTCCTAAAAAGGAAAACAATATCTATCTTGAAAAGTATAAGCTTCAAGCTCAAAGACAAATGCTTGTTCCCCAAGTGTTTTAATGCCTCATTGAGTTTAAAAATCAATTCCATAGTAAAGTACACTTTTAAAATTCTTGAAACCTTATCTTCATTAAAAAAAAAAAAATCTCAGCTGGCAAACATCTCCTGTCAACAGTAGCATATGTGTGTAGGGGAATGGGTGGTTGGGGGAGGAGGTCTAACCAACAATAAGGGCCAACTTCCAGCATTCTCTCCAAAAGAACACAGTTTCTTCTGAAATGATAAGACTTTATATTTTTAAATTACACTTTACATTTTTAAAATATTATTTGCATTTAAGTCTGTTTCCTTAAATTGGGGAATTTATGGGGCAGATTAAACCCCAAATCTGCTCTGTTTGGCCTACACAAAATTTGCTGTTGATTCTAGTTTTCTTTCTGTTTAATCTCTCTATTTCAGTTTGAGTGTTTTTGGAAAGGTCAGCTTTCCAGTTGTATTGACCCTACCACTATCTCATGTCCTATGCCTGGCACAATTCACTCCCTGAAGTTATTTACTTGAATCTTATAGACATTTTGATCTTGTTACTTTTGCCTTAAATCTTTTGGGTGGAGTGATACATAAATTAACAAATTATGCTGAGTACAGTTATTCATCTAGATGTTCATTTACATGTAGAAGTTGTTTATATTATTTATTTTAATAGATTCCAGATCTGTTTTGCTTTCATTTTTTGAATGAGTATTTTAGCTTTATTGTAGGTAATGGGGGTTTCTTTCAAGTCTAGAGAGAGAAATAAGGAAGCCCGAAGGCCCTTTGAGCATCTCTCTGATTTTCCCTTTTCTAATTTATGGCTGCTGGGGAATTATGATTTATGCTTTCCACCTCTTCTCAGTTTGCTTCCCTTGTTCTGTATATATCTATTAACTGTTTCTTTTTTCTGGGGTTTCATTTTCAAACTCCCGGAGACAGAGAATCAGGTATGGAGAGCCCAGGCCTGCTCACCAAGGTTTGCCTATTATCCTATCTGTCCAAAAATATACTAGGGAGAGCTGCAATGTAACAGGACTATGCCTGATAATTGGTGCATAAGAAACTGCTTTTGGCTGCTTGCTCAGTATAGGGCTTTTGTGAGCAGGCATGCAGAATCAGAGATTCCACTGCATGGAGGAGACCAGAATTCATTTGTGGTTAAGAGCATGCATCCTGGAATCATATTGCTTGGGTTCATAACTTGACTCCACCATTTACTGGCTGTGGAATCTAAATGAATTATTTCACTAATCTGAGTCTCAGTTTCTTCATCTGACAAATGGGGATAGCAAAAACATATACCTCCTAGGGTTGCTGTAGGGATGACTCAGACAATATGTGTGAAGGACAAAGCACAGAGGTGGACATATAACAAAGACTTAATTCATGTTGGTTATTATAATCAAAATAATCATGATTATTATTTGGATACTTTCACAGGTTTTGGACAGCACTTTTCATGTAGTAGCTTCTCAATAAATATTTGCTGAATGAGTACATGAACTAATGAATTAGTCAAGTATCAGTGGCTGAAATATGTAGTCGCTGAGTAAATCATTTTACAGGTGATACTTTAAAACATTATACTTAGGGACTAATATAAGTGTTCCATCTCTTTTACAATTATTCCCATCATGAGATTTGCATTTCAAGTAGGCTTTAAAACAGAGGAGTTTTTTCTTTTTCTTTTTTTTTTTTCCCTCCCCACAGTAGCCCTGGATGATCCATTTGTTATTCTTTGAAGGTCCTAGTGAAAAGCTAGCAGCGGCTTTCTATATTGGCTAGGCAACTTGCAGTGTCTGACACAGAAAAATATGTTAATTTTTAGCATGCTAGATTTTCTTTCACAAAGTCATCAGTAATCTCTTACCATATACTTGACAGCAATAAATATTATTGCTTGGGTTTTACCCCCAATCTGGAAAGAACGAAGTGATATAATAGAAATGTTAAGCCTGAAATTCATAGATTAGACTCAGACTGGTATGGAATCAAGTGCATTTGATTCCTTTAGAGTTAAGCTGTGTTGAAATGGGCAAAATATATTGTAGATCTTTGCTTGGGTAGAATTTATTACCCACTTCTCTTTCTGTTTCTTAGCACATTGTATACCCTGCTTGTCCAGTGTGCCACAGCTATATATGCCACATACAAGTGATCCTTAGGTCTTGCTGCTTGCTTTTCAAAGGGAACTAGGTAGCTCTGGTGCAAGAAAACACTGCTTCAGTACTCCAAGCGTGCTACCTTCATAACTGTAATTGTTGCCATTACCAAAAATGTTGTATCATAAGTATTATTCCCTATCATATTTCTCTAATTTACCCCCATGAAAGTAATTTAAAACTCCTATTTTAGATTATCTTCTGTTTATAGTTATCTGTAGCTTTAAAAAATGTATTAATTTTTTTCTACTAGTTCTTTTATTATATCAATTGTAACATTTATATCCACTCAACATTTCAAACTTTTATCTTTCCTATTTTAGTTGTTAAAATATTTTTCTCAGGCATAATTCTTTTTAATCTCATAATTATTGTTTCTTCTTTTCTTCTTTTAAAAGAAAGATGATTGTTGTCTCTTTGGATCTTTTAGTTTTCTGAGTTTTTTTTTTTTTGATGGAGTCTTGCTCTGTTGCCAGGCTGGAGTTGGAGTGTAGCGGCGCGATCTTGGCTCACTGCAACCTTCGTCTCCCGGGTTCAGGTGATTCTCCTGCCTCAGCCTCCTGAGTACCTGGGGACTACAGGTGTGCACCACCATGACAGGCTAATTTTCGTATTTTTAGTAGAGACGAGGTTTCACCATGTTGGCTAGGATGGTCTCAATCTCTTGACCTTGTGATCCATCCACCTTGGTCGCCCAAAGTGCTGGAATTACAGGCATGAGCCACTGTGCCCAGCCTCTGATTTTTATCTTTTATCTTCTTTTTATATCCTTTGTTGTTTATAAATAGGCAGAAGAAAATCTAGTTATAGAGACAGATCCAAAAAGTTTTATTTATGAATTGGTCACAGATGGAGAAGGAAAAAAATAATTAGTGTTGAAACCCACCATTTTAACCAGAGCAAATGGGTTTAAAAGAATGCAACTGAGATAGGAAAAACTGGGGGAGGAGTATGTTGTAAGAGAAAAATAATACTTTCTTTTTCTATCACTACCATGTAATAAAGAGCATTTTTTAACATCAAAAAAGACATAAACCCAGATATTTAAAAATGAATACTTTTGATTTTCTGAAAAATTCAATAGATGGTCTGTTTTCTTTTTCATTTTGCGGTGAATTAATGAAAACTTCTGGCATTAAGGAATACTTGCAGTAGATAATGGAAGGATTTATATTTCAGGAAAACTCACTCTGGTACCTGTATAGAGAATAGATTGGAAAATATTGAAGACAAAAGCTCAATTAGGACTAGTAATAGGAAGCTGTGGAGGTAGATTACAATTTGAATACTGTGAGGAAGAAAGGTATCTACAAAACTGTTGATAAGGAGGCTGGAGGTTGAGGAAGTTGTGCCTAATGCACTGGCGTGTTCTCAGTAATGAAAAGCAACATTTGCTGGGAGTGATGTGGTGGAATTTTTTTTTTTTGAATAAAAGATAATGTGTTGAGTTAAAAATGGAATCCAGCTGTTTTAATAGGCATACTTAAATCTTTCTGAGCTTCAGAGAAGGAGTCCTGCCTAGCCAACCTGTTCTTAGTATTATGTTTTATTTACCATGGCTTTGGAAGCCACAAAACTCTATACGTTTATTTGAAATAAAATAGTAAGTAACTTGTAAGTGTATCAGACATATATTAAATATTACCTTCATCGATAAGATCATGAGTTTCTCAAAAACAAGAGTCCCATTTTCTTCCTACAGAGGTGGCCTACTGTATAGTGAAAAGAGCCCACGCCTTGGAGAGCCACACCGCAGATCTACCACCCTCAGGCTCTTCATCTGCAGTGGCGGTAATGACGCGCACGTCATAAGATTCTTCAAGGTATTTGGTGAAATAAAGGATGTGTAAAGGAGAAGGGATTTTACATGAGTTAGCTATACCTTTCTCTTCTTTCTCCTTCAATGTACTCAGGCCTGGGTACGTACAGACGGCACTAATGGCGTGGGGCCAGAAGAGCTTTTAATTTTGGAATTCTGAAGAACTGAGAACTCATGACTCTGTCATCAGCTCTGAAGTGGAATATAAATAAAGTTTTGTCAATTTTTTTTAAAGCACCCACTAAACTACAAATCCCTTCTCTCTCCTCGAGGTGGACGGGTCACGTGGCTTTCCAGGAATCCGGAAGTCTGGTCCGCTCGCCCAATCACGCCCGGAATCCTAGCTAGCGGCGCCAGGTTGGCCATTCCTGGGGAAGCTTGCTCTCCGCCAAGCCGGGTACCGCCTCCGCGCGCCGCGCTGACGGGTCGTTAGCGGATACGGCGGCCGCAGGGGCGGAGTCAGGGGCCTTTGCCCGCCTTGGCGGCCGGTTCTACCTTCCAAGTTCTCGCCTCCTGCTCCGCCATGGCTCCCAAAGGCAGCTCCAAACAGCAGTCCGAGGAGGACCTGCTCCTGCAGGATTTCAGCCGCAATCTCTCGGCCAAGTCCTCCGCGCTCTTTTTCGGGAACGCGTTCATCGTGTCCGCCATCCCCATCTGTGAGTGCTGGGAGCGAGGCTGGTTTGAGAGGCCGCGGGCGGGTCGGGCTGGGCGGGGACGTGGCAGGACCCAGCGAGCAGGCCAGGCGCGGGTGCGGCCGGGGGTCTGCGATCTCTCCAGCTCCCCTGAGCTCGGGGAGGCACAGAGCCTCTTCTTTGGGCACGGCGTTGTCGCCTGGGATCGTCCTGTTAAAGCACTCCGGCAGGTCACTTGTTAAAAGTACGCACGTTCCCGAGCTCCACCCCCGGAGAAGGTGGTTAACTAGTTCTGGGGTGGCGGCCCCGAATCTGTATTTAAACACACTCAAGCATACTGCCTGCTGCTCTTTTCCATACAACTGTTGCTTGCCGTTACGAAATTTTAAACTTACGTTATTACTTATTTTGGATAAATTAATTAGGTGAGAGACCCATGAAGTAACCCACTGAATTAGAAGTACATCTTTACGTGAGCTACTTTACACTACTGCATAATTTTCCTGGTTTTTGCAGAAAGAGAGAAATTGAAGTGCCAGGGGTTGGGGATCTACCTTGTTTAGACTTTTTAAATAATCCCACTGTACCAATTCTAGAATTCTCACTGGGTTGGGAAAGTGCAGACTTGCACAATGTTGTTTTTAGTAGAGCTCAAGGTTCCAGAACTCTTGTCTTTTGCTGCACTGTTGTTGGGGCATTTAAAACCAAATGTATTTTTCTCTTTTGTCCTTATGCAACCCAGCGTGCAATTAACGTGATGTGAAGCCATATTATGGCTCACTCATTTGACAGCACTGCTTGGATTTCTGATAACAGCCACGTCAGCAAGGAAACTATGGTTTGGGACTGCACGTGGCATTTTGGAATGGCCTGTATTTAGCATGCTAGTACCCTGATGAATGAAATTTGAAGTCTGACTTGTGATTACGTTGAGCCAGAGTTTGTTCTCATTTTAGAAGCAGAAATCTCATCTGAACTAGTAATAGGAAGGTGATGTTTTTCAAATGTTCTGAACTGGAAGGCTTGAGACTATACTGTTAACTGGTTATCTCACTTCTGAAGATCCTCAGATACTGTATTGATTGCATAACTAATAACCTGGTATTTTACCAGGCTTAGCTTTAAATAATTTCGCAGGCTTTTGTTATGGGGTTGTAATGTTTTGTTTCTTTTTGTACTTTCCACCTTTTATTTTAATTCAGGGTTATACTGGAGAATATGGCATATGGATCTTATTCAGTCTGCTGTTTTGTATAGTGTGATGACCCTAGTAAGCACATATTTGGTAGCCTTTGCATACAAGAATGTGAAATTTGTTCTCAAGCACAAGTAAGTATGTTTTTCAAGTGAAAGTACGTACTACGTGTTGTATTTTTATATGTCTTCTTACAGATCGTTTGTGTGTGTTGGTTTTAATAAGCATTAATTTGAGATATCTATGTATTAATATATATATTTTGGGGGAAAGGAACATTGATGCTAGGAAGAATTATTAACTAACTGAAGTGGAGACAATCATTCTGACATGGCTACAGAAGATTTTGAGGGTGGAATTAGAAAACTTAAGCCCAAGCCTTAATAGGAGGTTCATCGGAGAAACAAACCCACCAAGTAAATTAACATTTCAAAAGCTAAATGTAATTCTTTATGGAGAGAATTGTTCTGGGCTCTTCACGTATTCTTTTTGGAAGTTAAAGAAATGATCTTTTTGTCATTATTATTATCATTATTATTATTATTTTTGAGACTGCATCTCGCTGTGTCGCCCAGGCTGGAGTGCAGTGGCCGGATCTCAGCTCACTGCAAGCTCCGCCTCCCGGGTTTACGCCATTCTCCTGCCTCAGCCTCCCGAGTAGCTGGGACTACAGCCGCCACCTCGCCCGGCTAGTTTTTGTATTTTTTAGTAGAGACGGGGTTTCGCCATGTTAGCCAAGGATGGTCTCGATCTCCTGACCTAGTGATTCCCCCGTCTCAGCCTCCCAAAGTGCTGCATTATTATTTTTTGAGATAAGGTCTAGCTCTGTTGCCCAGGCTGCAGTGCAGTGGCATGATCATGGCTCACTGCAGCCTCAACCTTCCCAGGCTCAAGCGATCCTCCCACCTCAGCCTCCCAAGTAGCTGGGACTACAGGTGCAGGCTACCATGCCCAGCTAATTTTTTTGTCGAGACAGGCCAAGTTGACCAAGCTGGTCTTTTTGTTTTATTACTTTTTTTAAAAATTAAACTCTCTGTCATTTTCAATGCTAATTACATTTGTTTTCATACAAGTGTATAAAATGTAAAGGATTAACATATTCTAAGATCACACATGTTGTAAAATACAGCTTTTAGAGAAGAAAACTCAAGTCTCACCACCGTAAATTTAAACATTAATTATAAGCAATTAAATATTCTAGTTTCATAGAGGTTAAAATGCAGGAGCATCTAGACTTAGGAAAGATGGTAACATTTATTATTTCTCAGTGTCATGGTCCTCATTGTCTCATTGGAAGTGGTATAAATTATTGTTTAATTGACGCCCTTTGATGTTGCTTTCATGTACACTGTGATACTTGGGTAGGGATAGCAGGATTATTTCCCTCCTTCCTTCATGGGGCCATCTAGGTGCCATATTGCTTTGGAAGTAATTTCTTAAAGGCAACTGGAATTTCACTGAGACTTGAAGTGTGGACATACTTTGTATGTGCATTATCTTTTCATCCATAGTTCTCACTCTAGTTTGGACACTGTTTATACTCATATTGCTGTAACAGCCTCCATCTGGTCTTTTAAAACAAGTTTAGGGCCCACCCTGCCATGCACTATATAAAGCACATTACCCTATGTAATCCTTAGAGCATCCATATGAAGTGCAAGTATTTCCCTTGTTTTATTGAATGAAGAGTATGTATTTCTCCTTATGTGACATCATTTTTGAGTCTCACTCTGTTGCCCAGGCTGGAGTGCAGTGGCCCAATCTTGGCTTACTGCAACCTCTGCCTCCTGGGATCAAGCGATCCTCTCACATCAGCCTCCCAAATAGCTGGGACTACAGGCACGCACTACTACCACCCCTGGCTAATTTTTGTATGTTTTGTAGAGATGGAGTTTTACCATGTTGCCCAGGATGGTCTTGAACTTCTGAGGGCTCAAGTGATCCATCTGCCTCGGTCTCCCAAAGTGCTAGGATTACAGGTGTGAGCTGCCACGTCCAGCCATGGCCTCTTTTTTTTAAAATGTATTAAATTCTAGACCTCTGGAATGCAAGCCATCTGCTTGCTTCCTATGAGTCTGGCCTCATCTTTCAGAATTAGGCTTTAACTCTTCTGCCTCGCCCTCATATCATCCTTTGACCATGTCTTGTGCCCTCCCCCATTTAGGATTAACTTCCTTTCCATTCTTACCTGTGTTTTATTTTGAGACCTAGGAATCTTTTCCAGAGAAACCCTTCCTGACTTTGATCATTTCTTTGCTTTGTTGTCCCTGTGTTAGACTCTTTCGGAGAATGAGAAATAGAAACATGTTGAGATGATCTCAGTTAACAGGGATTTATTTTAAGAAATGGCCCAGAATGGCCTCAGCGGCTGAAGTGGCCTTCACAGTTTCCTTCCTATTGTTCTGGACACAAAGGAGCTCAGGTTTCGGGGCAGCCGTTCTGATGGACCAGCAGAGAAATTGGGTTATCTTTGTTATCTTTCTGCTTGGCAGCCCCTCAACCAACTGCCATTCCAGGATTCAGCTCATGTGGGCCTCCACTGTATGGGACTGTTTCTTGTGAGGCGTGGCCATTTGTGCATCGGGAAGCCCTCGCAAGTGGGCATCTTGTATGACCCATTCTTTGTAATACTCTTGGAACTCAGTCCCTTTGAGACTTACATTTTTTACTTGTTCTTCATATCATTTTTCATTCATCTCTTTAGAATCAAAGTCATGTTCTTTTTACCTTCTCATTTCTACTTTAGGCTTCTTGAAGACACCCGCCATATCTTACTTTATACCCCTTAAAACAGTTAATGGTACATTTAGTTCAGTAAAATTTCACTGACTTACTGACTTAATGGACTCAGAGTAGAGGTTTTTTTTTTAGTCATAGTTTTGGCTTTATATTAAATATGCTACTGACTTTGAAACTCCTACAGATTTGCAAGATGGTTAAGGTTCATAGATTCCACAAGATACTGAGTGTGGGTAGATGTTGGCTGTAGAAAGAAGATGGCTTCAGAGTTGACAGTCTGGGTTCCAGTGCCAGCTCTGCCACTCTTAAATGTATGGCCGTGGGCATAGTTTTCCCTATGTAGACTTCAGATTCCTCAGCTATAAATTGGGGATGCTAATGGAATCTCAGAGGGTGGTAAGGATTCATTATGATCATACATGCGACATGTTAAACATACAATCTGGCACATAATAAATGTTTATGTGCAGGGTTGAAGAGGTTGGGACTAAGAGAGCCCTTAGAAGTTGTTTTTGTTTTTTAAGGTGGCATAATTTAAACGATGTTTGCAAAGATGTTTTTATTTTAAGAAATCAGGCAGTGTCTTTTTTTAATCTTTAATTTTGGAAGTGTTCTGACATACTGATGTGAAAGAGTAAAAGAAGAAAAATACAATTGATTTTATGGGTTATCTCAGTTGACTGAGTGCTAGGTCACTAGCGTGACTTCTATTTTGTTTTACAGTATTCAGCACCTAGTGAGGTTTATTTTCTGAGAGCTCTAAGACAGAGGGGAGGGCTTCCTCTTAAGTTGCAGTAAACCTGCAGTGTGGTTGTTATGCCCCTGGTAGGTGAGGATAAAATTCTAGACCTAGAAGAGAAATTGCTTAGTTATCTGGTGTAATGTCTTCATGAGGATTTGTCATGTGGATAATCGGTTGACTGTTCGTCCTAAAGACACATAGTGATAACCAACTCTTTTGAAAATGCAGTAGTTTATTCCTGTGTCCTAACACCTTGATAGTTGGGGTGTGTGTGTATATTTTTATGTTAAGCTAAGAAAGGTTTCTGCAGTAAACTGTCCATTTCTTTTCCGTTGGTCTTTTGTAGAAAAAAAAAAAAAAGTAGTCTGATGTTAAGTTCAGGAAACACATTTATTTATTTTTAATTTTTCTTATTTTTCCTGTTCTTATCATCTGTTCTCATGAAGAAACATATTTAGTGCCTGGTCTGCTAAAGAGGTTCAGAGAGAAGAATCTGCCTTTGGAGCTGAGTGTCTCAGAAATGCAAGAAGCATATTAAAAGATAGTTTTTACATAATGAATCAAAGGAATTTGGATCTTTGGAGTAAAAAGTTCATTTTAGTGTCCTAAAGTGTCTCGTAAAAAGACAGCTGTCTGCCCCCTTAGCAGCCTTTTTCTTTAGGTTTCAGAATTGATTTCCTCTTATTGTGTGATTTTTTTGTTTGTTTGTTTGTTTTTTTAAAGAACTATTTTTTCCTCTTTCCAGTTACCAATTTGTGTGGGGTAACGAGGTTTAAAAAGTAACTTTGTAAACCTTTTAAAAAATACATTATTAGAAACTGACTAAATGTTTTCTTTTTATTAATAACAGTGTCAATTCTAACTCAGTTCTTGAGTGAGAGAGCTAAACATGGAGACATAGGTAAAATCAGTTGTAATTTGTGCTTCACTTGTATCCCAGACACCCTTGTAGTTGAAGAAGGGTTGAAAACTCCTGCCTTGAGTGACCTGGGGCTTTCTGTCCATCACACCTAGCTTAAATCGTCCTTTGGAGTAAAGTTAGAATAATTACTTTAAGATATTACAGCTGTTATTTCCTCTTTGTTTAAGCCTAGTTTTCATTCCTGTTATGTACTTGGAATTGAAATAATACATCATATACTAATGCCTTACGAAATTTATTTGTTGAACAGTTAGATGACAGATTAAAACAAAATGTAATTAAAATGATTCTTAACTAAATTGTGTTAATAGCATTTGACTTTATTAACCACATTAATTCCTAAACTTTGGAAAATTCTTCTTTTTAAGCAGAAATCAAAACATGTCACTAATAAATTAACCACATCTTGGACATTTCTTGAACTTTTGGCTAGTGTAGTGTAATAAACTTGGACTTCCTGCTCAGCTTCTTTTCTTGAAATGTGAAATATCATTCTGTTGCCAATACGAAATAGGAGTACAGAGTGTTTCTGAGAGAGTGTGATGTTCACCTCTGTAGCATATGGAAACTTTTTCTTTTTTTCTTCCAGAGTAGCACAGAAGAGGGAGGATGCTGTTTCCAAAGAAGTGACTCGAAAACTTTCTGAAGCTGATAATAGAAAGATGTCTCGGAAGGAGAAAGATGAAAGGTTTGACTCCTATTTAAAGTATGGTCATCATAAAAGGGGATACTTTTTGAATAAAATTTTTTTTTATTTTTGCTTAAAGAATGTGGATTTTGGAATTGTCTGAGGTAAATTTTGGAATTGTAGTAGTAGTAGTAATGGAAATAGTAATAGCTGATGTTTAGAGTTTTTATTACAACCGGATACTTTTATCTGTGCTATACAATAGTTGATTTATTTCAGTAAAGAGCCCTGTGAAGTAGGTACTATTTTTATCTCCTTTTTACACCTGAGGCAACAAAGGTACAGAAAGCTTGGGTAACTTGCCCAAGGTCCTGAATTAGTACATGGTAGATCCATGATAAGAACACAGGCAGTCTGACTTGAGAGCTTGTACTTGTAACTGTCTGCTGGAATTGAGGAGGCAACAGAGCTTTGTACAGAGCAGGCTTTGCCTGTTAATAGGTGTGCAACCTTGAACATATCACCTAACCCCTCTGGGTCTGAAGGGTTTATGTGTTAACATGTCTATGTGGTGGTATTTCTGTTCCTGAGCTTCCCGAGGGATATCCAGTAATTAGTTATCTGTATTGGTTGGGAAAAAGAAAAGAACTGGACTTTTCTCCTTTTGCCCAATTCTATGCCATGTTTATTAGCCCCTAGTCCCGATTTTTTCTGCCAGCTGCTCTTAGAAGGCTTATTGAGCAATCTTAACATCTGAGTAGCAGAAGTCCCTGAGTCAACTTGTGCTGAAGAATTGCCACTTAGTTTAATTGTTGCGAGTCTGCTGTTTTCATGGATCTTTAGCTTTAGTATCAAGAAGGGGCTTTGTTGGAACATATTTTTTACCTCACTTTGCTCCAGAAAGACTTTGTGTGAACTTGCAGTGTTAGTGTATATAATATATTTTCTACATTTAATACGGTTTTCTTAAAGTGCATATAAAACAAGTAACACAACTTTAAAGAACAGAAACCATTTAAAAGGAAGAAAAGGTGGATGAGCAAGTACCTTAGAGTTAGTTACAGCAACTGAGCACTGAACTTAGTTGTGGGTTTCCAAGTGTCAGAGGAAGCATCTGAGGTCACAGAGCTTTCATTGTCTGACGAGAAGCAGCATGCAAGTCCTTCTGAAAAGAAACTTTCCTGGCACTGGATCTTGGAAAGACTTTATCAAGTGGATCCTTATTTAAGGGACACTGAGTAACTTAATGAACAATGTCTTCTATAGTGGTTTTGGAAAGGTACCAAAACATTATTAAAATGATTATGTCTTATGGCTCCTTTATAAAACTGAAGGCACAGTATTACGACAATGGAGGCCTTTCTGCATGGAGCAGCTTTAATGAGGTCGGGCTGCATAGTGTTCCAGTTGCATATTTTTTGCATAGGGTTCAAGGTTAGGGAATCTAGATCACTGTTTTAGAAAAAACCTTTTGTTGAATTTTTCATTACAATGGTGTTTCTTAAACTAGGGTATGCATAGTTACCTAAATTTCAAAACATTTGTTACAGGTTTTAAAGGTTTTCGGTGATTAATTATGTCAGGGATAGTAAATGGGTTTCCTCTGCCGACTGCAATCTTGGACAGATTTGGTCTGGCACTTGTTCTTGAGCCTGGGTCACGTCTCGGAATCTTTTTCAGTTTAGTGTTCAGGTAGTGACTACTAGTGAATCAGTTGAAATTGGGAATGAAACCTTTGCCATTTGCCGGATTAGGTATTTCAAAGTGGGGTGAGGTAGAGGTTTCATGGATATATATAAGTGCAGAGTATCAGAACATTATACAATTTCTCTTTTCATCGGTAGAAATTTGGCTGTAAAAGCCATACTGGATACAGTTTTTACTGTATTGATTGCCCTTGATAACTGGGACCAGAGCCTCTCATTAAGATCTAGTTTGTTTCCCTCTGAAAGAATTCCAGGAGATTTGATGTAAGGAGAAGGTTTATCAGCATTTCTTTGCTTAGATGTGTATTTCTCAAAGCTCTGTCTACATTCATTTGGAATATATACTCCATGCCGCTTAAAAGTACTTCAAAATATTCATTTATCCAAGGATGGAAATAAGCAGAGGAGAACATGAGATTCATTAACATTCATTCCAGAGTGCGAGTGTGGTTTCTTACTGATTTATGGGTGATCTGTCATTTCACATTATTTGATTGTAACTGTTGCTTGGTCTCAGCTTTTCTCTTGTAGGAAGCTCTTCCTGAAAACATCCTTAAGATATTGGGAAGTGCTCTCCCAAACCAGGTTCCCTACTAGGAAGAAAATGTCTTCTACTAGGCAGAACCGTTGGCAATGAGGGCATTTGGGGGTCCTAAATTTAAAACAGAAACAAAAAAAAAAGGATATGAGTGGACTCAGAAAAAGTTCTAAAGGCTGTCAGGCTTTATACACTGATGTAACTAACATGTGGTCATATTGGGATCTAGGGAAATCTAAAGGATTGGGCCACTTCTTTCATTAAAACTTTTTTGAAAATGGTTCTTGTATTAGTCCATTTTCACAGTGCTATAAAGATACTACCTGAGACTGGGTAATTTGTAAATAAAAGAGGTTTAATTGACTCACAGTTCTGTGTGACTGGGGACGCCTCAAAAAACTTACAATCATGGTAGAAGGTGAAGGAGAAGCAAGTGCCTTCTACACAAGGTGGCAGGAGAGCGAGTGAGCGCAGGGGAAACTGCCATTTTTAAACCATCAGATCTTGTGACAACTCCCTCACTGTCACGAGAATGGCATGGGGGAAACCACACCCATGAACCAGTCACCTCCCACCAGGTCCCTCCCTCAACATGTGGGGATTACAGTTCAAGATGAGATTTGGGTGGGGACACAGAGCCAAATCATATCACTCTTATTTAGGGCTTGACAGAAAAGAAGTTAGGGAGAAGCACTGTGATGCAAGTGAGATAATTTTATCATCTAGAGTAAAGTCAGGCTGATAACCTACTTAAGCAACCTGCCTTCACTGGATCTCATGCCAGAGTCTTAAAAATGGAGGAAGTTGTCCTGAGTGTTCATTCTAGTGTTAAACCATGTTGAGACTATGCATCTTACTAGGCTGGTGTCACTGATCAGTGTTAGAATGATGTTTCCTGGAACTCCAACTCATGATTTTTAACAACTTACATTTAAACTTCTATGAAATTACAAGGTGTTTTATAGTTGATGACTGCACTTAATGTAATGTCCTTCCCTTCCTCCAAACTTACAATAAATGGAAGAGTTATTAAGTTGATGGTGTCTCTAATATGGCATGCGTTAGAGACTACAGATTTCTTATGATGAGCGTAAGATGTTAATTATTAGCCTTCATTTAGCTCCTTTACAGCCAAACCTGTTGTCTTTGGATTAGTATACATGGTGAATAAAATGTGTCAGTTACCAGTGACTTAAAGTGTTGTCCTTAGGGTTGATGGGATGTGTCATCTGACTCCAGAGTAGGTTTATCTTTTGAGGAGACAAAGTGTCTACAATAGTGGCCTTCAACCTTTTTGATAATGACCTACAGTAAAAAATATGTATTTTACCTTTTGACCAAATAAACTCACATGTGGACACATGCACATGTTTCTTAAAACAATAATTATCCTGCTCTGTGTGATGTGCTGCTGATGTTTTTCTATTCTTTCCTGTTTCATTTTTTAAAAATGCTGGTCTCAGCCCACTCAATTAATTTCTGTGGGCATTCGATCCACTCGATTGAGTTCACATCCCACTAATGGGTCACAACCTACCCTTTTAAAAACTGCTTTACGAAGTTAATTAACCAACAAGAATAAAGGCTCCCTTATTCACAGGCATCCTATAACTTCCTTTTGCCTGTTTGAAGGCGTAAAAGAAAAGATGGATGAAATGCTAGTAAATTAGTAAGATAAACTATCAGATCAAGTAAAATAGAATAAAAAGTAAAAGAATTTTACAAACATTAAAAAGTCCTCCTAATGATTAAGTGCCTTTTTTGTTTGAATTAATGAAGATGGCTAACAATAGCCTGCTTCTGTGAGACCACAGGTAGTTTTTGTCATTGGGATTGTCTTCTGTAGGTGTGATATTGAAGTCTGATATTCGTAGGCTGTAGAAAGCCTCAAGCCCAAGGCATAGCCAAGGAACCTCCACAGGCTGCCAATCATGGAGTCTGAGTTTTAGGTAAGGGCCAAGAGAAAGACATTTGACTTAGCTGCTGATGAAAACATGCCAGTTGCCATTAATGAGTCCCTTCTTCCATAACCCTAGTTGCCTGGGAAAAATGGTAACATAACCAGTATGATGTTTTCTTCACTATCATAGAGTGAAATATTTTTTTTTCAGTGTAAGAAAGGGGAGAATTCTGACTAAATTTAATATTACATTCTTATCCTAGAACACTCAAGGAAAAACTTGTTTTATGATGAACTAGAGCCATATGCTACTTAAAGTTTTTTTTTTTTTTTTTTTTTATCGTATTTATAAGCTTGTTTGACTTGGTTCTGTGTCTCTAGAATCTTGTGGAAGAAGAATGAAGTTGCTGATTATGAAGCTACAACATTCTCCATCTTCTATAACAACACTCTGTTCCTGGTCGTGGTCATTGTTGCTTCCTTCTTCATATTGAAGAACTTCAACCCTACAGTGTATCCTTTTCAAGGTTGATTATCTTTTTTAGAAGTCTAGAAACAGTAGTTCGTTTTGGTTCTGACTTGTCTGGATATTTTAAGTGGAGAGAAAAGCTGCTCTGGGAGTCAGTCCATTAAATAGTTCTGACTTTAGGTAACTTTCTGGACATTTAAAATAACAGCTATTGGTTTAAGATTCTTTTAAGTTTATGAATTATGACTTTATGATAAAGTATTACAAAGCAGTCTATGGGAATCTGTGTCCTTGCCTACTTAAAAAAAAAGCTCCAAAGAGCCAAAGCAAACTTGTCATTTTTGATAGCTTCTGAAATAATAAGCCCCTGTATCTGCTGTTATTTTTGGGCTCAGGGGGTTGGGTGGATGGCCAATGCAGTTAAATAGGTTAATTCCAGTGTATCTTAATAGTGTTTCAAGATGCTGTTAAATTGAGCTTTTGGGCAAGAATCAGTCTTCTCTTATTAATTTATTAAAGTTGTTATCCAGGAATGTGCAGCCAAGATTTTAACAATTGGTGATTATGATGTAATAAAATACCAGATACCCTCCAACGTGTACCTTTTGGGAATGCTGGAGTGGTTTGCTGAAAATTGTACAGTTGTGAGGCTGGGAGTAGCTTTGAACTTTTAGAACCTCCTTGCTGTTGCAAGCCAACTGCAGCAAAACACTGATTCGCAGGGAAGACTTATTTTTCCATTGCTCTTAGGGGGGAAAAGGGAAAACAAATCTCTTTTCTCCCCATGTTCTTTGATCAGCTCTTTTCATGAAGGTTAAATGGAATTCAGATTATTCTTTGTGATCGTGTGTTCTAGGTTTCTGTCTTAAGTGTTTTTTTTAAATTGGAACACATTTCCTGTGAATGTTTTCCATTTCTTTTTGGTCTTCTGTCTGTCTTGCAAATTGTATTTGCAGACAATGGGGCTGCACATCATTATGATTACACCAAGTGTCAGGAAGGAAGCAGTACGTTCCAAAGAGATGGGCTCTTTATTTTGTCGAAAAACTAATTTGGAGTTACTCATTTTTCCATAACATTAAATTTCTTACAGGAACTACATCTTGTCCATAAGTGCTTCATCAGGACTCATTGCCCTCCTGTCTACTGGCTCCAAATAGACCATGTCAGCTTCACCCCCTGGCTTTGTGTGTATGGGTGGCCTGTGGTATATGGAAAAGTCGCAGGGTGGTCAGGGTGGGAGACACACAAGATGTTTTTATAGTCTAGAACCTTTAAAAAACCCAGCAGAATGTAACTCAGAATTTGTTTATTGGCTGTTTTTGACAGATTGTTGAAATTAAATGAATTGAAAAGGAAACTCAGAGTACCAGGACGTTTATTAAAAGGAAAAAAATGTCTTGCAATGTGTTATAATCACAAGAGGAGAAAATAACTTGTTTCCTTGATCTGTCAGAGGTCACAGTAACCTGGGCCGAGCTGTTATTATTTATTATATAACAGTAGTAGGAAGTTAATAACTGGTTCTCTGTGTTCCAAGCACAATATTGCAGCTTCTTTTGAACCATAAATATCCGAATGAATCCTCTTCCCAGGGGATTGAACAGAAGCTTAATGTTTAAAAGTGTTTGAATTTGTGATCTGAAATAACGCAAAATTAAAAACATGATTTCTCCAGCTTTCCAACTTGAGGAAGAGAAACTTGTGGAAAAGTTCTGCTGTTTTTTTTTTTTTTTTTTTTAAAGAAGAAGGGCAGCCAAGGTAGTAACCTAAAAATAGTGCCCAGGCATATGAGAGTTGTCCTATGAGGTTAAAGAACACACTGTTCCGCTGTATGGCTTTGGCCCTGAGTGGCCATGGAGGTCAGCTTGACCCTGCCATGTTGGTTTGACTTACTAAGACATAGGAATCATTGTTTTCCTTGACCAGGGTCTCACACCCTGGAGGAATGTTAAGTAAGAGAGAGAACCTCTTTCCTGAATATTGACATGTAAAAGACCAAAGTAATTTTTCTGAACTTCTGCAATTCTGAGAACTTTCCAAGGAATTTACAGTGATTTTAGTGCTTGTCAGCATTTTTCCATGAGGACTTTCATACATTTGACTCTTTAGTTCACAGATTCCCATTGATTGTGAGTAAAATATTTCTCTCTTTAGCCCTTGGGGATCCAGCTGAGAGGAATCTCTTGCATTTTTTTACCAGTGTATATACAGATATTTCTTGTGTGTGCCATGACTTGAAAAAGTTTGGGAAGCTCTTTAGCAATATCAGCTAAAAGGCTATGAAATCACAGGTGACAGCAGTTGTCATTCAGTAATTTCCTACAAGCAGCACCCCAAAGGAAATACAGTCCTAATCTTTAGTATCCACTTCTAAATTTAATGTGAATTTCATATGTGTTATTAGTTGTTTTCTTTATAATTTTATAAAAATTATCCATCAGGAGTTTAACTTCCACTTCCCATGCTATTGGATGTGTTGGGCTCCATCCAACAACTTGGAAAAAAAATGGGCAGGAATACATTTGCATAATGACCCAGATCATTTTCTGCAACTGAGAAGTATATTTCATCATTGCTTCCAGAAGTCTGCAATTCTTTACTTTTCCTTGGTGGATTATTATCTAGCTGCCATCACTGGATAATGTGGAGTGACTAGAGAAGTCACATTCACTGCAAGGTACAGTTAGGGTAACACTTAGGAGGTTTATTATTTTTAAAAAACTTTTCTTGAACTCCTGGCCAACATGGTGAAACCCTATCTCTACGAAAAATACAAAAATCAGTGTATTTTTTGTACACTAATTTTTGTACACACCAGATGTGGTGGCGGGCGCCTGTAATCTCAGCTACTCAGAAGGCTGAGGCAGGAGAAGCTTTAACCTGGGAGGTGGAGGTTGCAGAGTCGAGACCCTGCCACTGCACTCCAGCTTGGGTGACAAGGGTGAGACTCCATCTCAAAAAAGAAGCAAAAAAAACCCAAAAACTTTTCTTTACTGTTGATTAAAAAAAAAAAAAAAAAAGAGCCAGACCATAGTTTGACTGGTGGCATGGAATTTGTGTATCAAATAAATGCATTTCCTTATTTGACAAACCATCAGTGTCTAGTATTTGTTACCAGAGTTGGGCCACTATCTTTTAAAATTGCTGGTGAAAACTTGCCACTAGATGGCAGTGCCTGTATAGATGGGGAAAAAATCACCACCATTCTTGGTATAATACAGTGTAGCTTAGATGAGGTGGTGAAATAGAGGTATCAGCCTAATATTCCTAATATAGTTTCTCTTGAATTAATAAACTGAAGATTTGTAGGAAAATAAGTGAGCAAAATTTGTTTCCTGTTGTGAATTTTTCCTACAGCATTCTTTTTAATCTTGATGTTTTCCAACTTTCTGTACTAATAGATACATTTCTGTGCATAAGATTATGAGGCATATACTCACAGTTCAGTAGTTTTTGTTAAGGATTTACTGTGTGAGTACTTCATTGTCAGGAATTGCAGAACCTTTTCCCCACTGCTCTCATCGTCTAAAAGTTCTGTGTGGCACACAGAGATGCGACCCACTCAGTCAGACTTAGATAGTGAAACCATACTGTAGAATTTTTGTCGTAAAAAGACCACATACCCAGCACCCGTGAAATAAAAGATTCATCTGTAACTGGGATTCAAACTGATTAAATTCCTTTGCTCATACTCATAAATAGCACTAAAATGTTACAACATTTTCATGTACCTATTTTTAGTTCCTCCATTTTAACTTACTAAAAATCTTGGATTGATATTCTTAACCAATAAAAGTTTACTGGTAGTCTTATTTGGCATATTACTGAAACTTGGAAAGGATAATTTGAAACAAGGTTTGAAGTTCACTGAAATACAGAGATTGAATTTATACTCAATTCTTGTGAAAAGTCTTGCTTAATAAGTATGATTAAACTTTGCTTTTTGAAATTTGTCTTTTCCCTACACTTCTTTATAAGAATCCTATGATGAAGTACATAATCTTTATTATATTACATTAACTATCATTTTTCTTTTCAAATTGCTTTATTTTTAATTTTACTTTAAGTTCTGGGATACATGTGCTGATCATGCAGGTTTGTTACATAGGTATACATGTAACCATCATTTTAATATCTCACACATAAATGCACATCTTTGTAGTTACCGATCAGATGTATGTGAGGCAATGAAAGGCACTGAGCGGTTACAATAAAGGGCAGACATCAGGCCTCTGCCAGTATGTACCTGCTGTGCCTTTCTGCCTGCCCTCTTTCTTTGTTTTCAGTGTGCATGCCAGTCACTGCTGCTTCTGGAGACAGGATGGAAGGATACATGTATGTGTCATTTATGGAGAAAACCAATTTATAGATGTATCTATTAGAGCTCTAAGGGATTCTCTTTCACTTCCTTGGGACTCCCAAGCAGGGGAATTAATAGAAGACTAGGAGGGTCTTGGTTTAAATTTTCAGGAAGATAGAGACTAACTTCTCGTTGGCCTTTATGAATTTTCAGTATATCTTTTCGCTGACTTTTCCCTGTTTGATTTCTGAGTTTGGATTAATACTTAAGTTTTTTAACTTCAACATTCTCACAATTTCTGCATAAAACTTTAAAGCCTTTTAAAAGAAAAAAAAAAAATCTACCTAAAGGAGCCCTGACAGAACACAAAATACTTGGGTTCCAGGCCTGGTTCTGCCATCAGCTAGCAGTGTGTGAGTTTGGGCAAGTTTTTTTCATCTATCCAGGCCTGCTTTGCTCATTTGTGAGAGGGATGGCTTTGCAGATTGCTAAGGTTCCTTCAAGCGCTGACATCTGCCTAATGACTTGGGCAGTCTCTTCATGAAGATGAAGTGACAGTTCTTTAAGTGGGAAGCCAGACACAGGGTTTCTAGTTTGCCTGAGATTTCCATATAGGGATGGCTGCTACCCAAGTTACCTTTTGGAATGATATATTCTCTGCCAGGGAATTCTTTTCGGAAGAGAAAAGAAAATTAGAGTGCGTGGAAATTTTCCTAAGGACGTAACTGAAATACATTATCTAGTATATTTACCATGACAGATTCGCATATAAAAAACTGGCTGTTCCCACAGCTAAGCCATTATATTTATATTTGGTTTTGATTTGCAAGTTTTTAAAAGTGAATTCATGAAGCCTTAACCTTAGTGCAGAGTGTTCTAAAACTCAGTGAGAAATGATATCTTCAGTAGTTAATCTCCATTGATAGAAAATGTTTGGATTGCAATTTAAATCTCAGACTTTTGATCACTGCTATTTCTGTTGAGTATTCAGTGCAGCTTAGCTGCCAATATAATTTTTATTTAGATGATTATTGCCTATTTTATGGCCATATATATTTTATATGTGTATATTTTACATATATGGAAAATATACATAAGCCTTAAAATGAAAGATCAGATAAAATCTATTGTGAGATTTAATGCACAAAATGCTTTTATTACTCTAAGCAAATAAATCACATTTCCCATTAGACGGCACCTCAGCTCCTCTATACGTACAGCAGTTCACTGGATTGAATACACAATGAACAACTGAAAAAATGATCAATTTCCATCATTCTGATATTCGGGCAAAAAATTCAAACTTTGTTAGAATACAGGTACTAGTAATCAAAAAGAAAATTTCTTGATATCTCCCACTAGCATTTTCAGATTTAGAATTTAACCATGAAATACACATTTAGAATGACAGAAAATAACATTTTAAAATGATACTACAATTCTTCTGTAAACCTCAAAGTGATTTCTGTATGGGGAAGTTGCTGACCAGAAAATTAAATTAGAATTTTGTACGTCCTCAGATATCCAAATAAAGTTAAAGGGCCACCTCCACACCACCCCCTTCAAAAACAAAAAACATATTTTCTCTCTTTTTACAGATATTGACACAGTATATTCTCACAATTTTTCTCAAGTGGGATATTAATGAGGGTAAGTAGCCAATAGTGGCAGGGCTAGATATACCTCAGATTTCGAGTGCAACAAGGGTAAGCCCCATTAATCCATGCAAAGAACTTTCATGCATATAGTTGAGTGCATATAATATTATATAACCAGAAGTTCTTTAACATTTTGCTTTTCACTAGGCAAGTTAATTTACCCAGCATATTCTGAATAGTGACATAGCATTTTTTCACAAAGCCAGTGGTTGACTTTCATGTTAACAACGCTTCAAAAATACCAAACATTATGTTGAAAATCCCAGTGCTAATTAAACAATGAACATTTGCCTTTCTGGGTATTTTACAGGTTTACTTAAAAAACTGAGCATGTATTATGTTTATTTTTAAAGCTCAAATATTTAAACTTGCAGAAATTGTGCCTCCAAGCAGTTGACAGTATAAAGCAGGTTTTAATAAAATGTAGTAACAAATGAACACCTAATTGCAGATACATTGCATTTTCTTCAAAGCTAAGTTTCCGTAGCAGTGTAGCCCTCTCTTTTATAAATCAGCTGTAATGTCACTAAAGATTGGGTTATTCATCCTTTTACTGTCACTACTTGTAAGTGGATATAACATTAGAATCCTAATAGACATTCTGGATAAGTTGTACAAGGCCATTCTTGGGGCCACGCAACAGTAAATATTTGAAAAGTAATAAAGCCAAAATACCCAGAAATTGTAGTTTTGTTGAACAACAAATGGAACAAAACGTGTTAATATGAATGTGAAAATAGAAAAAAATATATATAAAATTCTTTCTGCTTATTCTTCCAAGCAAGACTTTTGAGTGAAGATACTGGTTTTTTTTTTTTTTTTTTTTTTTTTTTTTTTGCAGTGAGATACATTTTTAATAACTATTTACTTAACAAGAATCTATTTCCTAAGAAAAATCTCTGAATTCCTTTCCTTCACTGAATTTAGTCTGTCTACTCTGTTTCTTATGCAACTCACATTGCATCTGTGGATTTTGTTCTTTTGAAAAAATATATCTGTACAGCCTTCTTTGAGTTACCAAATGCCTGAAGGTAATACATCACCCCCCGGCCCCCATATTCTTCCCATTGCATAAGCATGAGGTGTATACAGCAATGCAAGAATAGGTGACTCCAGTCCAAGATAAGAAAATAGAATGGATTTTCTTGGTTGTGAGTTTTCAGATGTGCACAGTGGTAGCGACAGCAGACACCTCAGAGAATCCAGGGAGGGACACTAGAGGTTGAGCAGCAAGCTGCTAAGTGATTGAAAAGACTGGTTAGTAACACCTTTCTGTACTGGGCACAGGCCGCTATTTTAACCATGCAGCTTCTGTGGTTCATGCATTGCCTTATGATCTATAGTCCTTCTTGCTGTAGGGCTTGTTGCGCAGTATGTTATCAATCTCATTTACCACATGTGATGTCATCTTTGGGAGAACCTGAGAGCAGGAGGAGAAGTACAAAGGATATTGTTAGCAGTGCTGATCATTCGTTTTTTTGTGCTCTATATTTAGCAAATCAATCTAGAATCGTGTATCTTCACAAATCACAGCTGAAATATAACCACCCCCCCATCACATTGTAACCTCCTTGAGGTCAGGGGCCTTGTTGATTGCATAAATGAAGGCATAAAGGCATAAGTGAAGGCTCATAGAAATATAGAGCAGCTCTATCCAATGGAAATATAATGCAAGCCACATTTGTAATTTTTAATTTTCTATTGGATACCTTAAAAAGAACAGTGAAATAAATACACATTTTTACTCCATTATGTCCAAAACATTATTCCAACATGTAATCAATATAGAAAAGATACTTGGCAGTTGTTTTTGGTACTAAGTCACATCTTGTGAACATGTTACACTTAAAGCACATCTCTGTTTGGACTCGCCATCTTTCACGCACACAGTAGCCATATGTGGCTAGAACTATGGTATTGCATAGCACAGGTCTAGAGACTAAGAAGAGATTTATTCTGACTGGTGGTCTGAACCCTGGTGAAAGATGGCTGGGGTTTAACAGGCATCCCAGGTAGATGGAATAGCATGGAAAAATGAACTGGAGTGATAATGTACAGTAATTAGTTGTGGGGATGGTAAAACAGGATATGGATGGTAAGAACGGGATAAGAGTGTGGAAGGCCTTAAATGCCATTTTATGGAATCCCCACTTTAGGCAGTGGGGAACCTGTCAGGACTTCTGATCTAGGAGTAACCCCATCAGACACCTGGAGGTGGTTTGAAGGGTGAGTTGGAGGAGGTTGAAAGGGGACACAGATGTTAGATATGTATTACAATCCAAGCCGGGCAATAGGGCCTTAACTAGGGCAGTGGAGCAGAAAAGAAAAGTAGACCTGAGAGACATTTTGGGTGATGATGGTGGTTTCAAGACTGAGTAACTAGAAGAATATTGGTGTTGATTATTGAGATTAGAAACCAAAGGGAAGTAGTTTGGGGAATAAGAAGTTGGGAGGGAGTAGCATGTGTTGAGTGTAAGGTGCCCGTGGAATATCCACCTAGGAGTGACTGAGCAGCTGCACGTGCAGCTGTGGAGCTTCGTAGTTGCGGGAGGGCTGGAGTTGAGGGTTTGTGAGGGTTTGTGAGTCATTTGCACCGACATGCTGATTGAAGCCCGGGGAAAGGATGAGCTCATTCAAGGCTAGCATTTATTGTGAGAAGTGGGCCAAGGGTACACATTACACCATAAGACAAGGGACAAAGGCAGACTTTCTCACTGGAAAAGTCTGACCCTCTGTGGAGACCGTGGTGAAATACAATTCTGACGACCAGTTCTGAGGTTTCAACCTCATTCTCCCTTTGCTGCAATCCTGCTGGCCAAGGTGACCTTGTCTCCACTCAAGTGCTATCCTCAGAAGCCTTAGGGTTTGGCAAAATAGTAGAGCTGCCAGCCTGGGAAACTTCATTCTGGTTAATGTTTTACTGTGAAGCTGAAGAAAGAATTTGATTTCCCACTAGCTCTGGAATTTCAGTGTCCAAACAGCTAATGTGTTATTTAAAATGAGATTGTAATAATGAGACCAAAAACCTAGAAACTGGATTTGTTGGATTTTTTTTTTTGTCTAAAATACAGTGGGTTAGCCATGTGAGGAGAAAAATCCTTCATTCATTACACCAAAACAAATTTTTGATAGGAAAGAGATTTAGACATTAGAAAAACGAAACCATAAAAGTACTCAAATAAAACAAGATGTAGTATCGCAAGACCAGAATTTTCAAGAGAAGCCCCACTTTAAAACATTGTAAACTACTACAGATTTTACAAACACCCCACAGGCTACTAGTTTTGCAAACTTGATGTTACAATGCCTGGGATAGGTGGTGGGTGAGGGAAGGTCTGGCTAATGTTGCTGGGGCTGGCTGGACATTAGTGAAAGTTCTCCCAGGATTCGGGTCCTGTTGATCTGGAACTTGGGGGTGGAGGAAGATTTTGCTAGGCTGGGGTAGTGGTCAGTTTGTAGGCAGAGGGCCACTGCTATCGCCGAGGCTCTGAGTGGTTCAGGATGGCTGAGGATTCAGATTCCGGGGAGGTGTGGTGGGGAGTGATGAGGCCCGACTGCTGCGGAGCCTGGCCTTCTCTGAGTGGGTGATGGGGAACCTCAGAAGGGTTTTAAGGCATGTGGGGAGGACGAGGAGAGGCGGTTCTCCCACCTTTTAGGTGGGAGTGGGGAGGATGGAACCTGTGTGGGTGAAGGCTGGCTGCCTGCAACTGTGCTTTCACCTGTTGTCTCTCCCACCTATCGGGCTCGGATTTATATACGCCCCTTCATTCCTGCACATCCTAGGCACATGGCATCCCTTGAAGCAGCTGCCTTCCCAGTCTACTAGAAATATTTTCTTACAACTACTGGTGCTCCATATTTTCCATCCTTCTGCAACCAGTCCCACCACTGCTGGGCACCCCTAGTCACCCAGTCTGCTCTTCACCATGTTGTGGGCCCAATCACAGCTTGTCTTGGGTGGACTTCAGTGCTGGGTAGTGGGAGGTGGAGTAGAACAGGGGAGGATTGGTAAGCCCGCAATGGTACCAGCCTTGCTGCATGGATAATGTCCCCTTTAGGATAGGCAAAGCCTCATCCTGCTGCAAGCAAAAGCCTTGCTAGGGAGGAAATGTTTTGGGAAGAAAAATTACTCAAGACTTTTCCTCTGAAAGTGTCTCCTTTCCCGTCAGCTGCCTTGTCTACTTCCACAGCTTTTAAAACTCAGCCTGAGACTTGCCTCATATGCCATCCCCAGGCACTATGACTGCCCCTAGGAATGGCAGTGATCTCCCAGTAATAGCATGATAAGAATCCTCAATTCCTCCCTCTTCTGCCGAGCCATGGTGTCTCTCTTTCTCAAACCTGCAGAATCCATGCACTTCTCTCCCCCTCCATGGCCACTACCCTCATTCAAGCCACCATCGCCTCTTGCCTGGATGACTGCCCTTGCCCTTCATTCTACTTTCCGCACAGCAGCCAGAGTGACCTTCAGACATTCAAACAGGAGCATGTCCCTCCTCTTAAAACCCTCCACAAGGACTTGTCGCAGGTAGCATGAACTGTAACCCATGGTGTCCTGCGAGACCTGGCCCTGCCTGTCTCTCCTCATCACTGCAGCTGCTGTCCCTGTGCCCAACTACATGTTGACCACATTGGCCTTAGCTGACAGTTCCTGGGAAAAGTCAAGGTCCTTTCCATCTCAGGGCCTTTCCACTGCTCTTCCCCGTCCCTGAAATGCACTTTCCTGGATTCTTCACATGCTGTGTGAAGGCATGTGAATCGTCGTCAAAGAATGTAAAAAATGAAGGCATGCGAAGTCCTTGGAATAAACATATTCCAGAGGGGCTTTTTGCAAAGACATTTAAAATAGGCTCACCCATTTCTCAGTCTCAGTAAATAAACATTTATTTACTTAATGGCCCTTTTCACAACCTGAAATCATTTTGTATATTTATCTGTCTCTCCTACTGGCATGTAAAAAACCCCTTGAAGGTTAGACGGTGTTATTCTTCTTTCCTCTGGGTACCTGGTATACAGTAGGCTCTCAAAGATCTGTTGAATGAATTAAGGGATAGATTTTTTAATTCACTGTTTCTCAGCCAGCACATGAGCTCTTTGAAGGCTGGGTCCTGTTGCCCATCTCAGTCCTCCCACTGCCTAACATGATGCCAGACATAGAATTAAGTGCTCCATAAATATTAGTGAAACTGAAATCATTGGATTGAATTTCAGTTCTTTTTTGTACAAACTGTTCTGTCCCCTCATCACTGTGTACCCTTATCTTTTCCCAGAGCATAAATGAAAATGAGAGGTGGCATTCATAAGAGGGATAATTCCTCATGTAGGCACAGGGAACCTCACAGAATCCAGTAGGAGTTACAGGGCTGGATATGGGAGTTGTTAGAAGCAGAGAGGCAGAGGTGATTACACAGCTGCACAGCCCTAAGAAAGGTTGGGGGAGTGGGCAGCGGATCTATGCCATTTATTCCACAGTGTGTTCTGGGCTATTTTTAAAAAGGATTTAAAATCATATTTGTCCCTACCTCCACCTGTTTCCTTTTGGGAATGGTAACAGGGCTATGTGCTTATTGCAAGGACAGGTAGATAGGGAAGAAGCTGTGAGATAGTTATTTTCCTCCCATGAGCAGGAGAAAAATAGACAACCTTTCTTGTTTTAGCAGGTAGTGGCAAGAATTGCGGGCAGGATCATTCCTAGGGCTTTTAGCAGGGTTGAGAGTAGGACAGACTCAGGACTAGCTGTGGCCTTTGGGGAAAGGAGGTGGTCACAATAGATACTAAACTCCACCCCTCTCCTTAGAGTTCCCAGGAACATCCTTTCAACCCACCCACTGCCACTACAAGCTCCCCAGAATATAGCTGCAGGCCCCATCTAGTGCCCTGAACCAGTGGCCATCCTCATGGCATAGGGAATGGGGATGGGCCTCCTAAATTTGCTTTTAGGGAGATGTGATCCTGGAAGTCCAAAATAGAATTTTGAGCCCATTTCTCTTAAAACATGGCAAATATTATTCAATAGATCTTGAGTATTAACTAAGGAACATGTGGTAAGTACCCTAGGAACTGGAAAATCAGTGGAAAAGCGAAGACGCAGGTCTCTGACCTCAGAGGGCTTGCAGTCTAGCAGGAGAGACAGGCAGTTATACTACATTATCATAAAAGTTATCATGGGAGGGGGAATACAAGATGCTCAGCGAACAGAAAGAAGAGGCTCAGCACACAGCAGGTGGGCAATATTTGTGGAAAGAACAAATGAGTAAATGATGTATGTATATTGTCCTATGACTTAAATTTCCAAGCAAGTTACCAGCCAGGCTTTTATGGCGAGGCCTGGGAAGTCAGTTGCCGGATTAACACTGGAATGCACTCTTCCACAGAAACAAACCATCCCGAGAAATGAGCTTTGGGAATACTGCCTGTTCATAGGCAGAGGACAACCCTGGATACATGTTCTGGGAAAGTGTTCTTTGTCTTTGTTCCCCCTACTCTTGCCCCACCCAGAAGGATGGAGCGGGGCAGAGACAGACACTGCCTGGAAATAGCCTCAAAGGCACCTTTAAATTCCCTGGTGTTTGTTGGAAGGGGCTGCAATACTTGCCTGAATGGCACCAAGGTTTTCAATGAGTTGTTCAGGGGTGGATGATCCCAGGAGCACAGAACTCACACCTTCATTTCTCAGGCACCACGCTGGGAGGAGAGGACACTGGGTCAGGTTATCAAAGCACTTCCAATCACTGATTAGCTTATAAACACCTGCTACAGCTGTTTGTTGCAGCCAAAATTTATTAACTCCTTTTGTGGAGGATATACAGTGCTTCCTAGATTAAAAACCTAAGCAGCACCCCCTGTTGTGTAGAAGATTTGACAGAATCTGTCAAAGCCCACCTGGGAGGGGAGATGCGAATGCACAGAGGAAAACATGGCAAATATTATTCAATAGATCTTGAGTATTAACTAAGGAACATGTGGTAAGTACCCTAGGAACTGGAAAACCAGTGGAAAAGCAAAGACGCAGGTCTCTGACCTCAGAGGGCTTGCAGTCTAGCAGGAGAGACAGGCAGTTATACTACATTATCATAAAAGTTATCATGGGAGGGGGAATACAAGATGCTCAGCGAACAGAAAGAAGAGGCTCAGCACACAGCAGGTGGGCAATATTTGTGGAAAGAACAAATGAGTAAATGATGTATGTATATTGTCCTATGACTTAAATTTCCACTGTGTACCCTTATCTTTTCCCAGAGCATAAATGAAAATGAGAGGTGGCATTCATAAAAGGGATAATTCCTCATGTAGGCACAGGGAACCTCACAGAATCCAGTAGGAGTTACAGGGCTGGATATGGGAGTTGTTAGAAGCAGAGAGGCAGAGGTGATTACACAGCTGCACAGCCCTAAGAAAGGTTGGGGGAGTGGGCAGCGGATCTATGCCATTTATTCCACAGTGTGTTCTGGGCTATTTTTAAAAAGGATTTAAAATCATATTTGTCCCTACCTCCACCTGTTTCCTTTTGGGAATGGTAACAGGGCTATGTGCTTATTGCAAGGACAGGTAGATAGGGAAGAAGCTGTGAGATAGTTATTTTCCTCCCATGAGCAGGAGAAAAATAGACAACCTTTCTTGTTTTAGCAGGTAGTGGCAAGAATTGCGGGCAGGATCATTCCTAGGGCTTTTAGCAGGGTTGAGAGTAGGACAGACTCAGGACTAGCTGTGGCCTTTGGGGAAAGGAGGTGGTCACAATAGATACTAAACTCCACCCCTCTCCTTAGAGTTCCCAGGAACATCCTTTCAACCCACCCACTGCCACTACAAGCTCCCCAGAATATAGCTGCAGGCCCCATCTAGTGCCCTGAACCAGTGGCCATCCTCATGGCATAGGGAATGGGGATGGGCCTCCTAAATTTGCTTTTAGGGAGATGTGATCCTGGAAGTCCAAAATAGAATTTTGAGCCCATTTCTCTTAAAACATGGCAAATATTATTCAATAGATCTTGAGTATTAACTAAGGAACATGTGGTAAGTACCCTAGGAACTGGAAAATCAGTGGAAAAGCGAAGACGCAGGTCTCTGACCTCAGAGGGCTTGCAGTCTAGCAGGAGAGACAGGCAGTTATACTACATTATCATAAAAGTTATCATGGGAGGGGGAATACAAGATGCTCAGCGAACAGAAAGAAGAGGCTCAGCACACAGCAGGTGGGCAATATTTGTGGAAAGAACAAATGAGTAAATGATGTATGTATATTGTCCTATGACTTAAATTTCCAAGCAAGTTACCAGCCAGGCTTTTATGGCGAGGCCTGGGAAGTCAGTTGCCGGGATTAACACTGGAATGCACTCTTCCACAGAAACAAACCATCCCGAGAAATGAGCTTTGGGAATACTGCCTGTTCATAGGCAGAGGACAACCCTGGATACATGTTCTGGGAAAGTGTTCTTTGTCTTTGTTCCCCCTACTCTTGCCCCACCCAGAAGGATGGAGCGGGGCAGAGACAGACACTGCCTGGAAATAGCCTCAAAGGCACCTTTAAATTCCCTGGTGTTTGTTGGAAGGGGCTGCAATACTTGCCTGAATGGCACCAAGGTTTTCAATGAGTTGTTCAGGGGTGGATGATCCCAGGAGCACAGAACTCACACCTTCATTTCTCAGGCACCACGCTGGGAGGAGAGGACACTGGGTCAGGTTATCAAAGCACTTCCAATCACTGATTAGCTTATAAACACCTGCTACAGCTGTTTGTTGCAGCCAAAATTTATTAACTCCTTTTGTGGAGGATATACAGTGCTTCCTAGATTAAAAACCTAAGCAGCACCCCCTGTTGTGTAGAAGATTTGACAGAATCTGTCAAAGCCCACCTGGGAGGGGAGATGCGAATGCACAGAGGCGTCGGATCATGGATTCTAAGATTCTCTCCAGCACGCTCAGTTGCCCTCAAGTAGAAGCAGAAAACACAGATGCACTGCTGTCTTTCTTGCTTCTCTGTTGGTTTTCCAATTCCTAGCCTACTATATGTCCCTTAGTTAACACTCAATGCATTTGGGATGGCTCAGGGCTTAAGGCCTTTTTGCTTTCCACATAAGGCCTCGTCACCACAACCGGGGCATTCAATCCAGCTACCCACCCTAGAAACACATTGTTCTGGAAACACCTAACATTGCTCACCAGCAGATGTCTCGATTCCTGTTTCTACCTAGACCCACAACCTCCTGTCTTTCCATCGTATTCATGGTCTCACTTTTCCACATCTGTTGCTTGTAGCCCTTGTAGACTCTAGGTTTCTGGTTCCTTGGTTCCCACCTACCTGGCAGCCCTCTCTGGACCTCCCTTTCTTCCTAACCCAAGATTCATTCTGTGTTGATGATCTAAATTACTCTCTTATGAACCCTCACACCCTTCACTTCCTCTGCTTCCTTAGCAGATCCCCATCAGTACTGCATCTGTGTTTTTGGCTTCTACTTCAGGGCAGCTGAGCGTGCTGGAGAGAATCTCACAGTTCATGGTCTGGTGCCCCTGTGCATTCATGTCTTCCCTCCCAGCTGGCTTCAGCCAGCCTGGTCAGCCTCATTCTTGCCCTTGGTCATCTTTCTTTTCCCAAAAATGACCTTAAACCTGTACTCTTAAACCATTCCATCAACCTCTGTCCCCTGACTCTTACTAGATGACCTTGTCCTAATGTCTATAGAAAATCAAGTCCCTCCGTTGGAATATTCCTTAATTCCCCACTCTCCTACTGCATAAGAATCCACATCCATATCCTCCAGTTTCAGAAGAGGATGTGTGCGGTTTCTGTCAAAGACCAAACTCTGCCTTGGAGCCATCTCCTTTTTGCCTTTTCTTGGACTTGATTCATACGTGATTCCACTGCCCCCACCACCCCATTTCAAAATTTCTTACGGTGTCTTTCTGTCAACAAAACATGCTAAAATTTCTCCCATTCTAAAATAAGCTTCCTCTGACCCTTTTTACCTGCTTAGATACTTCCCCAACCTCCTTCCCCTCTTAAACTTCTAAAAGGTCAGTTCGGATTCCCTTACTGACCTTCTTCACATCCCAGTCACCTTGTTGCTGTGTCCCAAAGCTAAGGTCCCCAGGAGCCTCCTGGTGGTTACGGTGGACTTCTCAGTCCTTAGCTGCCTGGAACTCAGTGTTGCTGGACTAGATGCAGTGTCTGCTGGGCCTTCCTGCGAGATGCCCCACAGGCACCGCAAACTTCCGGCTATGATGCCTGGCTCTCTTGCATTCCCAATCACATTTGGGGGCATCACCAGCAATGTGGCTCCCCAATCTGGAAACCTGGGAGTAATCTTTAAGAACTGTCCTTTTCCGACCCCCTTTTCCCTTTTAACTGCTAAGTCCAATTAATTATTCCTCCTAAATAATCCTCTAATCAAGTGCTTTTCAAACTTTGGTATGCGTCAGAATCATCCCAAGGGCCTGTGAAACACCCACTGTTGTGGCTCACCCCCTGAGTTTCCGATTCAGAAGTTCTGGGGTGCGGTCTGTTCATTTTTAACACACTCCTAGGTAATGCTTATGCTGATGCTGCTGATCTGGGACCATGCTCTTTTGTGTTTTGTTTTCTAAACCAACTTTATTGAGGTAAAATTTACCCATCAAAAATTTTACCCATTTTAGTTGTACATTACATTTTTTTTATAAATTTACAAACCACCATTTTTAATATGCAACCTTCACTATTTTCAATCCAGTTTTATAACATTTCCATCACCCTAATAAGATCCCTACCTCAAGTACCAGGCAACCACTGACCCACTTTTTGTCTCCAGATTTGTCTTTTCTGGACATTTCACCTAAATGGAATCAAACAATAAGTGGTTGTTTGGGTCTGGTTTTCACTTAAGCATATATTTTCTAGGTTTTTCCATGTTGCAGCATGTATCCGTACACCATTTCTTTTTGTTGCTAAAGAGTATTCCATTGTGTGGATACAGGGCTCAGTTTGACAATGACTGCTTTGGTTCAGCTGTCTTCACCACCTCAGTCACTGCTGCCCTCACTCAAGCCCTCATCATCTCTCTCCTGGAAAACTGGTTTTCCTACCTCTTGCTTGAATTATCCCCTTATATTTCCCCCATACAGCTCTCATCCAGCCAGCAGCGGTCTCTAAAAACACAAATCTGATCATATCACTTCCCTAGTTGGGCCTGAGGTTCTTAATTCTTACCTTGGAAAACCTTATTTTCTAGCCTACCTCTGCAGCTTCATGGCTCCCTACCTTGAACTTTGTGCTTCAGGAGCACTCAGTTGTCTTTAAATCCTCTCCATCCCCAAGCATCTTGCTGCTTTTCTCCTCTTTCTCTCCCTTCCTTCTGGGGCATATTGCTCAAGCTGTTCCTTTTGCCTGGAATGTCCTTTTGCCTCCCCCTTTCTTTTCACCTCACTAGTATCTGCTTATCATTTGAGATTTCCCAAAGGTATTGCCTGCTCCTAAAGTACTTCCCTGAATTCCAAGCTCCTAATTCCCTAATCCTCTGTTCCCTTCTCAGTATTATGACCTGTATTAAAATTATCTGTTTATTTGCTTGACTTGCCTACCAGGCTGTGAGATGTGTCTTATTTGCATTTGGGTGCTCAGCCACCAGCCCAGTGTCTTGCACAAAGTAGGAACTTATTAAATGTTTGTTGAATAAACATAGGCATGGAGATTGATGGATATCCCCAAGCACATCTTCTGCCCCCATTTGGACAGCCATATTGTCAACTGATACTCTTAAGCTGTTACCATGTCCAGGCCTTTTATGGTAATCACTGAATTTCCACATGGGCAAAATACAAAATAGTGCTCTATAAAAGTACCAATCCAATCTTTCTCTCCTTTTTTTGACTGCATTGTTTCCTGCTTTGCACTGAGAACTGTTTTTGGCCTTAAAAGTAGTTCTGAGGACAAAGCCAATTCTAGGCAAATTATTGCCCATAAACTACCTGACTACGCGAGGTCATCAACAGCTGATTCCCCTAATGGGCCTCTGGGGCACAGGAGAACCCACTGGGCAGAGCTGGTCAACTCCATGGTAGCAACTGCAGCTGATTCTGGATAATTAGCACCTCTAACCAAGTGTCACCAGCAAGTATGTCCAGAGTGCCTGTTCACTAAGAACAAAGTGTGAATGCTGGCTCCACTATACCTGTGTGACTTGGGGAGCAGGCACACAGTTGGGTTCAAGTAGTTCGCTCCCTGCTGGAGGATCTCCCCTCTCCCACACTAGCAGACCAAAGATGACACACCTGGAAATAATTTCCCTTTTGATTTTGAGAGTTTTGTGGCTATAAACAAAATTATTTATTTACAAAGAAATAAGTGACAGGTGAGAAAGACATCTGAGGGGATAGAGGGAGGAAAAGGGGAAAAAAGCATGTATTAATTTAAACTCAGACCCCGTAAAGAAGGTACTTCATGTATATCTAATATCCAGTGAGAGTCTAAATCTTGTAAAGATTTCCTCTCTAGAAAGACAATGTTCTTCCCTGTCTTTCAGGGCTAAGTTTAATACTTCATGTTGCTGTCTAAAAACCATATTTATGATTGTGCAGAATATGTTTCTCTGCATATTACTCTGCATGCCATGGCTAAAAACAGACAGAATTTCAAGTTTTGCATGTCTACTCTTTGCAAGAACATTATCATCTTTATTAGCACTCACTGAGCACCTACTTTTTGCTTTATATATATAATTTCCCTTTACTCAACTAGTTTGTAAGATATGTATTATTATACCCATTTCACAGATAAGAAAATTGTTATCAGGTTAAGCAACTTGCCTATGGTCCAATAGCTAATATGTTTTACTGTGCTTGTTAAAGCTGTAGGGTTGCTAAGTAAAAACATTAAATACATTGCTTTATTTTATTTTTTTGAAGAAAGGATTAAAGCAACAGTCGTACATATACTTAGGTACATGGCATTTCCCCCTCTTTCTAAAACCACTTCCCATTTCTATCTTTCTATGACTGTTAATTGCAACTAACATTTCTCTGCCTTCCAACCTCTGAAGAGTCAAGCTACCAACAAATATTCTATTAAATTATTTTATTTGCATAAAGCTTATCTTGAGCTTTTTATCTCATTGGGTTAGTGTTTCTGATATGTCCCAATTCCTGCAATTTCTTAATCTTTAGGATTTTTTTTCTTTTTTTTGTCTAGAATCAGCACCCATTTTATTCCTTTCTCATAGCTACCACATGAACTCTTTTATCTCATTTCTTCATTTGTAAGTGGAGATAGTAATAGCAAAATCCTCCACTAGCATCTGTAAAATATGACTAGTAATAGTATAGACCTCAGCAGATTGTTTTGATGATGAAGGAGACAACACAGTGAGCATGAGCCTGAGGTGCTTACCATAGAACCTGACAAACATCCCCTAGTAAGGGAACCAGAAGTCTCAGTGCTTTTCTGCCCAGTGTGTAGCCTTTGGCAGCATGTGGCTATTGAGCATGCAACATGCAACATGTGTCTGGCTTGAATTGGAATGTGCTTGCTCTAGGTGTAAAATATATGCTGGATTTCAGAGATTTGTAGAAAACAAAAGTAAAATATCTCAATAATTTTTAATATTTATTACATGTTGAAATGATAATATTTTGGCTATATTGGGTTAAAGAAAATCCATTATTAAAATTAATTTCACCGGTTTCATTTTAATGTTTTAATGTGGTCACTAGAAAATTTAAAATAAGATACAGTTATGCATCCCATAGCGACAGGGACACGTTCTGAGAAATGCATTGTTAGGTATTTTCCTCATTGTGTGAACATCACAGGGTTCTTATGCAAACCTAGTTGGTATAGCCTACTGCATATCTAGGCAATATGGTATAGCCTGTTGCTCCTAGGCTCCAAATATGTACAGCATGTTACTGAACTGAATACTAGAGGCTGTTGTAACACATGGTGTTGTGTATCTAAACATAGAAAAGGTATAGTAAAAATACGGTATAAAATAGTATACCTGTGTAGGGCACTTCCCATGACTGGAGCTTGCAGGACTGGGAGGTGTTTTGGGTGAGTCAGTGAGTGAGTGGTGAGTGAATGTGAAGGCCTAGGACATTCTTGTACACTACCATAGACTTTGTAAACACTGTGCACTTAGGCTACACTAAATTTATTTTCAAGATTTTTCTTTCTTCAATAATTAACATTAGCTAACTAACATTTTTACTTTATAAACTTTTAATTTAAAAAAACTTTTGGCTGGGCACGGTGGCTCACGCCTGTAATCCCAGCACTTTGGGAGGCCAAGGTGGGTGGATCACAAGGTCAGGAGTTAGAGACCAGCCTGACCAACATGGTGAAACCCTGTCACTACTAAAAATACAAAAATTAGCTAGGCGTGGTGGTGTGCACCTGTAATTGCAGATACTCAGGAGGCTGAGGCAGGAGAATCGCTTGAACCCAGGAGATGGAGATTGCAGTGAGCCGAGATCACGCCACTGCCCTCCAGCCTGGGCGACAGAGTGAGACTCCGTCTCAAAACAAAAAACAAACAAAAAAAAACCTTTCAACTTATTTGTAATAACATAGCTTAAAACACAAACACATTGTACAGTTGTACAAAAGTATTTTCTTTATATCGTTATAAGCTTTTTTTCATTTTTAAAAAGTATGTTTTTAGCTTTTTAAACTTTTTTATTTGTTACAAACTAAGACACAGACACACTCATTAGCCTTGGCCTACACAGGGTCAGGACCATCACTATGTTCCACCTCCACATCTTGTTCCTCTGGGAAGTCTTCAGGGACACACACGGAGCTGTCATCTCCTGTGATCATAATTCCTCTTTTGGGAACACCCTTCAGGAGAATGGCCTGCATGAGGCTGTTTTACAGTTAACTTTTTTTTTTCTAGTAAGTAGAAGAAGTAACACTCTAAAGTAAAGATGAAAGGTATAGTATAGTAAATACATAAACCAGTAACATGGTCATTTATTATCATTATCAAGTATTATGTACTGTAGATGATTGTGTGTGCTAGACTTTTAGATTACTGGCAGTGCAGTAGGCTTGTTTATACCAGCATGATCACAAACACACAAGTAATTCATTGCGCTAGGACCTTAGGACAGCTACAACATCACTAGGCAATAGTAATTTTTCAGCTCCATTATAATCTTATGGGTCCGCCTACATATATGTGGTCCATCGTTGACTGAAACACCCATGATTGAATGTGGTTCATGTTATCTTTCTCTCAAACAGTGCAGGTGGTTTTTCAATTGTTACCAGCAATCATGACCTTTCACGGACTCCACAGCATTAGAAGGACAATTTTTATGGCCTTAAAGAAGTTTCAGGTTGAAGCTATTTCTCTAGGATCAGCTTTTCATGTGGCAGTAGCCTTGGGCCTGTAACAGTCCTGTATCTCAGCCTCTAACCAACCCTGGCTTAGTTTTCAACAGAGACAGCAACTTGAGCCAAAAGAAATGGATGTCACTACACAGTTCACCCCTGATATCTGTGATAGTGTGTGTTATCACTGACATGTTCTCATTTAAACTATATTATAAGGGCAAGGGGAAAGAAGTAAGAAAAATTTGCTATCGTGTAGAAAATTCTGGGGAACCTCAAATAACTCACTTTATATCTAGCAGGAGTTTATGCTTCAGAGATCATCTGTCCCTACAAAAGACATTTTATCATGGTAAGGGTGTGGTCAGCAATAAAAAACTATGATCTCAGCAGAAGTCCCTCTACCACCCCATAGCTTAGTAATTTTCTTACCAACAGCTAGCTGAGGTAGTGTGCATCCCAGACGCTCTGCAATTGGGGAAAGGTCTTTTAGCTTGTTTTGCTGTTTTCTCCCTTCTTCACTTACAATTCTTTCTTTCAACCACTGGTAGCACTGAGGAAAAGCATAACATTGAAATGTTATTGTCTGGTAAAGATCTGATGTCAAAGAATGGTAATTCAATAAAATATGTGAACCTTATGATGATTTTCTGAATTTTTTGACCCTTATGTTTCACACTGCCAGGGATGATTTCATCCAAAGAAATGTTCCTCACAATCTTGCTCCTTGTTTATTGGTTCAAAGCAGATTGATTTTGACTAATATTCACCATTCAAATTGATCAGCCTGCACAGAAGTTGTTATAACCCTGATCGTGACATATAAGCACTTACATCCTAGCCTGTCCAGTAGAGGAGGTCATATTTCTTATTGGGATAGCCCAATTTTAGAATGAAAAAAAAAAAAAAAAAAAAAGTGCATTTACATTTTACCAAGATCTATTATGTCTCCTTTTTATTAAGAAAACTGGGTGCCAAGCTTTCTGCTCAAAGAAAATCATTATTTTACATTTTTGTTTGACTATTTTTCTCCGCCTTGCCTTCAATTCACTGCTAATCTCGTGTTCTTTTTATAATAGGGCTTTGTTGTTAGCTTCTGCAGCTTCTTCCTAGAAGCAGACATGGCATAACTGATAGATACCGAGTAGATTTTTAAAATTTTAAAGTGGATAAAGACTTTGCAAATGTTAGTACCTATTGTATAACTATTGAAACTTAAAAAAGTAAAGAAACTCAAAACAGGAAACTATTCTTTAAAGCCAATGAGAAGAAACTGACCCTGATCTATAAACTACAAAATGAACCTAATTTCCTCAATATAAAGAGAAAAATATTTTAGAACTTCTCAATGCCCTACTTTCCAGAAGGCTCTGCTCTTACTATGAGAAAGGGAACAACAGACTCTTCTACATAAAGTGAGCACTAAGCAGCAACACTCAGAGGAAAAGAATATTTGTAAGAGTGTTAGTCTGTTTTGGGGAAAATAATTGAAATTCATCACACTGTGTGGCAATGTGGACTTTCTCTCTTGTGTGTATTTGCGACACAATCGCCATCACAGATCTTTATCTTCCCAGAGGCCGCAGAATGCTCTGCAACAGGCAGTGGGCCATGGACACTGCACTCATGTGATTTCAATAGGCTACTGGCTTTTGTTTTTTGAGCATTTTTTTCATCATTCTAAGACAATATTTACAAAGAAAAGGGTAACCATATTATGTTTTATTGTGATTTTTTGAGTTATTTTGCCGATGAGAAAAGGAGAAGGGCAAGCTGCCCGTTTTGCCTCCTAAATCTCAAAGGCTTATGGGCTGGCTCCTAACTTGGTAGCCTGCTTGGGGAGACGGCTAAAGTTTTCCCAGCCTTAGCTCTGGGAAGCCTCAGCTCCTTCAAAAAGAAGAATGGCCTGAAGCATCTCTCCAGAGATGACAGTTGGTGCCAGTGGTGATGAGCTGGACATTGTGAACAATGGACACTGCCTGGGGACCGGGCAGACTTCCTGGACCAGTGCTGTCTACGTCAGAGAGTCCCTGAGCTTACTTTTGGTGTCCTCCATGGGAAAAACATCACCAATCCTCACTAAAGTTTCATAACATCTTTCAGGGGACCAATATCCCTGAATGTATTCAAACAGACTAACAAAGATTAAAAACTAATAGCCAACTGCTTTTTGAACAATCGCTTCTTATTAGTATTAGCATTTCTGAGTTTCAGTATATACCATGCATGTAAAGAGTGGTTGGTTTATCAATCTTTTGTAACTTTTCTGTTTTTGAAATCTTGTATGCAGTGCATTCTCTTCCTTAGGTTTGGGTTACAAGTTCTATGTATGTGTGTGTGTATATATGTATGTGTGTGTAACACACATACACACATACACATTTTCAGAGACAGACTTCCAAAAGTAAAAAAAATTAAAAAGTAAAAATCAAGCAATTATTTATTGAGTCCCTATCTCTCCATCTTCAACACCATAAATCTCATTGTTGCTTTAGCCTATGGAAATACAAGCAGATTAGGGTTTTTAAAAAGTAGATGCATAGTTTTTATACTGCTTTCCTCATACCAAAGGAAACAAAAGTGTGTTGGAAATAAACAGCTTTAACTGCTTTACAAATGAGAACGTGTTAGCAGAGATAGGAATGAGGCTTAATTAAAATATTAATTAAATATGGAAGCAAACAAGTGTGTTTTGTAGGAAGGTTGGAGGTGGGTGTGCTTGTGGCAGTAATATACCCAGCTTGCTGACTGGGCAGTAATCCATGAATCAAAAGGTGAAATCTCCTCATCCAACCCTATTCTATCATCCCACTGCACTGCAATGATTTGATTACTTGTTGGTTTTTCTAAACCTAGCAGGTGGAAGAAGCCAGGGATGGCTTGTTGCTCATGTCAGCATCTCCAGTTCTGACACTTGTAGCTGGCAAGGAGGAGGGGCTCAGCTAATATGGTGGTCAGGGAGGAGTCAGAGAAACCAGAGTTCTGTGGGGTCAAAACAAATCTCTTCCCATTTTTCAGAGTGATCATGACACCTCCTCCCCAATGCAGTGTGACTCTGTCAGCAGTCCTGTGGGACTCCACAGGGCTTGTGGATTCCATATTATTTCATGATTCACCCCTTCATATGTCTGTCCCTGTCACAAGGCCTGGAGCTACTGCTTGAAGGTTGCGACTGTCCCATTCATCCCTGTATCCTTAGCACCCAGCACAAAGTCTAGGTACACTCAGTAAATATTTGTCAACGGGACAACTGAATGAGCTTTTCTCCACAGGTTAGTTGGCTATTAGTTTTATGTATGTTACAAAACTCTAAATTTTCTTAAAGCCTATTTCTTTGCCCTCTCCTAATGCTATGATGATTTTATAAGTCCCTGTTTCATAGGTATTGATATTGGGGTGAGAATAGTCTGTGGGACTTGCCCCAAATCCCTAATTAGTTGTTTGTTAATCTTGGATTGAACTCAGGCTGAAACTGAAGCCATGGACAGAATCAGTCACATTTCAGTTCTGAACACTGTCTAGAATAATTTAACACCCAAGATCGCTGACTATTTCTACTTAAACATCAAAGGCTTTGACTCAAAACAAAAGCAAAGTCACTATTGAGGTTGAGATCTCTAGGTAAAATGCTAGAGCTGAAAACTTGCCTTCTGAAATTTTGCCATAATGTACAATATGCTTTGTTTCTTTATATGAGCACTTGACCTACTTGGACCACCTGTCTCCCCCAACTTTGATTCATCAAGGTGTGCATGCTTCTTATTATTATTTTTTTTTTTTGACAGAGGGTACTTTTTTATTTTTTTTTTTTTAGAAAGGATCTCACTATACTGCTTAGGTTGGAGGGAAGTGGCATGATCTCAGCTCACTGCAGCCTTGACCTCCCAGGCTCAGGTGATCCTCTCACCTCAGCCTCCTGAGTATTTGAGACTGCAGGTGAGCATGATATCTAGCTAATTTTTTGTATTTTTGTAGAGATAGGGTTTTGCCATTTTGCCCAGGCTGGTCTCAAACTCCTTGGCTCAAGCGATCTGCCCACCTCCACCTCCCAAAGTGCTAGGATTATAGATATGAGCCACCATACCTGGCCTAAATTTTTCTAGAAAGCATTTTGCCAAGAACAGGGAGGAGCTGCCAATACATTTTATTGCACTACTTATTTCTATTTAAAAGCTGTACACCTGGTCTCTGGATCAGACTTTATTGATTTGGTTGTGGCTCATCAAATTAACAAAGGCTTAAGTACCTCTTATGTACTCATCAGGCTCTGTGATGGGTCAGATGAGAAGGTTTCAGTTTCTGTCCTAGATGTATTCACAAATCATTACTTAGTAACATGGGAAGTGTTTTTTTGTTGGGGTTCCACTCCTGTCAATGATTTCCTTACAAGCTATGTCTTTACTGCCTTCTAATGGAAAATGCCATGATGAAGTGGTGCATAACCTGAGCTGATCATAGTACCTTACCCTTTTAGCCACTGTCATTGGTCTCACAGGGTGGCACATGACCTAAGCTTGGCCAGTCTTCTCTGGACTGAAGTTGGTAAAGAAAAGATCGCTTTGATCTTAGGTTACATGCCTTTAGAAATGCAAACCTGCAACCACCAGTTTTCCTGCTCCTGGCGTCATGGAGGAGACCCATTTGTAGTATAAGAAAATGACACCGACAAGCAGAGAGAACTAGAGAAGATGGAAAATCCTGACAATGTACGAGTTCATGGATGGAGTCATTGCTGAGGCCACTCCATATTTCCCAAGGATGTCTTTGTGAACCAATAGAGTCCCCATTCTCTGATCAGATTAGTTTTCATTGAGTTTTGTTACTTGCAACCAGAGAATTAGAAGACTCTGTAAGAAGCGTTCATGGAATAATAGAGAAGGTACAAATAGCTCATTTTTGTAAAGTTAGGACAGCCTTCATAGAGAAGAAGACAACCAAGCTTTGCCTTTAACAATAAGAAGGGGTTCCACAGGAGAATGAAAAGAAGGGCATTTCTGGGAGGCAAAGGAGAGTACAGTGCATTTGCATGGAAAATGAAGTAGTATGATATGGGAGACACAAATGAAAAAATAGGCTCAACTTAGATCCCAAGGGAGTTTCCTTGAATGCTTTATTACGGAGTTATGGCTTTGTCCTATAAGCAATGATTGGGAAATCATTAGAGGATTTTAAGCAGAGTTACGATATGGTCAGATTAACATTTTAAAAAGATTAAGTGGTCACAATGGTGGGTTGTTGAGGAAAGGGAAGGAAATCAGAGGCCAGATGGGAGGCTACTATAGTAAATCTGACAAGAAATGATGAAGATCTAAACAAGGGCTGTGCACAAGATGCATCTTAGAGTCAAGATAGAGTCTGGAGGATTTGGTGCCTTGTTGAACAGGAATAAGGAAGGAAAGGAGGCAGTCTGAGATAATGCCTTGGCTTCTGACCAAGATAACCAGATGGATGGGTGGAGGCACTGTTAAGCAAGAAGGAATGGCAGGTTCTGGGGGTGAGGACAGATTCCATTAGGCATGACTGATGCCCATGGGACTTCTACTTGGAGATGTCTAATAGACACAAAGAAGGAGTGCTGTGCAGTTCAGCAGTGAAGTCAGAGCTGATAACACAAATTTAGAAATCATTGTTAGAGTAGTGGGGCCAGATGAGGGGGCCCAGAAAATCCAGAAAAAGTAGTATTACCTTCTAAAACAGCTCTAAATAGGTATTTTTTATGCTGATTTAATTTATCCTTCAACTGCAGTTCAATACTACAACAGATGCAAAATATTAACATCTTAATCTTATTAGTATAACAATAGCCAATGTGAAACACAAACTACACAAACTACTTATTCTCTTTTAGGGTGAGATGAATGTTACCAATTTATTTATCTACTTGCCCAGATATCTATCTTTTAATTTAACTTTCCTTCCTTCCTTCCTTCCTTCCTTCCTTCCTTCCTTCCTTCCTTCCTTCCTTCCTTCCTTCCTTCCTTCCTCCCTCCTCACTACTCCTCCTTCCTCCTCTCCTCCTCCTTTCCTTTTTCTTTTCTCTTTCTCTTTCTTTCTTTCATGGTATCCTCATTCACTCCTAAGGTTGCTCTGATACTTGCCTCCTTTACTTTTTATTTTTTATTTTTTTGCTCTGGAAACTGTACTCAAGTGGCTTTCCTAAGTGCACATACATTACTCCGAAAGCACTCAGGCTGATAATGTAGAGCCTTGAGAGTCTGCAGAGCTCTAAAGAAGCATACTTTGTGATCAGCCACCTTTCATCTATTGAGAGCTCTTAATGTTTATTGTTAAGGATGTTCCAGTAGATACAGAGTTGACTTTATAAAAGTCAGCAATAGAAATATTTCCCAAGCTGCTTTTGGGCTTAGCCACCTTCAAACATTTGTTACTCTTTCTTTTTTTTTTCTTTTTCCTTTCACTAGTGAATTTGTGAAAGCTTTTTCAACTGTTTGCAAGCTTTTCTCAGTGATGAAGGTTAGACATTCATGCACTCCAAATACAGCATAGCTACTTCTTTCTCCTTTAAAAACCTGGGTTTAAAGAGAAATAAAGATGTCTTTGAGGGAGATAATTAACTGAAAGCCAGGAGACCTGGGTTCTAATATCAGCATTTTCTGTTATGAGTTTATGGTCTTGGATTGTTATTTAAGGTCTTCGTGTTTTCGTTTCTGCATCTGAAAAGGGTCTGCCTCTCAGCAGGTTATTGTGAGAACAAACACTCAGCCTATATAGAAATGCTTGGAATTTGTCAGCAAGCCTCTGAAAGAACATGTGACACCATGCTTAGCTCAACTGACTAAAAGTCACCTGTATCCATTCTATTTGTGAGAATAAAAGTTGTTGAATGAAAACACTTAGCTCAGTGCTTGGCACATAGTAGGTATTCAGTAAAATTGTAATTATCAGTGCTTCCCTTCTTCCAATTCCTTCCTTCTTCACTCCCTTCTTGCCTTCCTCTTTTTACACTTCTTTCCTAAGATGCTTTTAGTCTGTCTTTGTTGACTTGTTAGACAGACTTGTTTCAGAACAATCTTTAATTTTTAGAAGAGAGACCTTATTTAATATTCTGGGATAATTGGTTTTTGTAATAATACAAAACTAGAAATAGGACCATGTCATCGTGCTTTAGGAGATATTTATGTTGTATTATTTTAGAGAACAAACAAGCAAAAGCTCAACTGTTACACACAGAAAGGAAAGTCAAAGGCCTAGAGCCTTGAAAATATTCTGATTAGGGAAGCTCCTGGTGGCCACAGCCACAGTGATTAAAGGATTGGTGGTTCAGACTTGACTTGAGCTGTTTTCCCAATAATTTAGCGCTGATGGAGGCAAGAGGTTGCGTAAGGCTTATACTTCCTCTTAGAAGGACTCTGGTTTATCTGATTTCTTTAAATGCCTGTATTTTCTCTCCCTTGACAATACAGAGTAATTTGTGATTCTAATGTTATTACACATTCTCTCAAGTTTTTAAAAACAGGCATGTTGTTATTAATAAGGAGAGATGTTTGGAGTACTCTCCAATAAATTAGTCATCAAGATGTCCTGAATGGAGGTAATTTTGTGTCGACGATCTTGAATATCTTCTTGCTTCAGAGCAGAATTTAAACTGCTTTAAGTGACAGAAGCTTTGCTATGTATCTGTCTCCTGAAGTCTCCCCTTCTAACCCACTGCCCCCAACACACACTAAAAAGTGTCAAACATACTCAGCTACAACTGTTGGCCTCATATGGATTAAGCCTCTATGGCTTACATTTTATTTTGTAAGTTACATTTTATCAGTTTCAAATGATGGAATGTTTTCTTTAACATATGAATAAATAACAATGTAGGAATTTGAGCCCTGCAAGTCCAATCAGGTCATTGGGCACTTTTTCCCCAGTCCCCAGAGGAAGAGAATATGCGACGCACGCAGATTACGAAGGGCTGACTGATACATGGCCAGGCGCCGAAACCTTCAGAAGGCTCAGAGGAACCTGCCAGAGGCCACTGGCCCGGACAACACAGTCTGCCTGAGCTGGGAAGCCCTAGGCTGTTGCAGAGCTGTTCTTATCAATATTCCCTCCTTCCTAGCCCGAGGCTTTTTTCTAGACATTGAGAAAAATACCTTCAGTGAAGCCCTGGAACTTTCAGGCACCCCATTTCCGTATTTTCCTGAGATGATTCCACAGGCAAGTGGAGACCACGTCATTGCACCAACCCCTACAGAAGAAAAAACTGAGAAAGCTGCTTGTGCAAATTGGGATCAAAAGTTGGGGTGGGGGGGACGGTGGTGTTTAAATAGAATTTGGTAGGTTATCGGGAAAAGCTGTCCAGATAAATGAGTTAATATCGGCATGCATTTTTTCCATTACAATTTAGGAGCTTACAAATTGTGTTTCATTCTTTCATCAACCAATTAAACATGGACTGTCAGTTCTTGGGAAAGCCTGAAAAATGTGGCTGAAAAATGTGGCTCATCCATGAATTTTTGTTGTCCATTGAGTGCCTAACATAGTGCCTGGTACACAGCAGGAGCACACACCTGGTACACAGCAAGCACTCAATAAGTGAGAGCAATAATAACAATTGTTGTTGTTGAATTTTTATCTTTATCTCCTTTTCCCAGAATTTTCCTGCTCATATGAACCTCTAATTTTTAGGAAGAAAATTATCTCTGGAAACTTGATAAATAAGCCTGAAAATGTGGCTTATTCATCTTTTCCTAATGTCTGAATTTCCTGGGTACATGTTATATATGTATTTCTCCCCTCTCTCTGAAGGCATTAGTTCTACCTACACAAAGTGATAGTGCCCGACTTAGTTGTCGAATTTCCCAATTCTCACTCAGTGCCAGGGCTAGGGTAGTAGATACAGATGTATATATCCACGATATTTTTGAAAGGTAGTCATTGTTTACTCGAGCAAGCACCAATGAAAAATGAATTTATTCATTGGTTGTTCCCTTTATTCAGTATGCATTTTTTTGAACACCTGCTGAGTACAGCTGAAACACTAGTCACAATTTACAACTCTGCTTGGCTTTCATCAGTGATACCTTGTAGACTAGGTGCAGATTCTGCTACATTTTGATTCTGCTACAATCTCTGGAATGCATGGTTCTTACAATATCTGTGTTAATTAGGGACATTTAGGAAAGCATTTCAGTAACGCTGTTTTTACTTCTTCCCCCCGAATCAGTGATCTTTCTCTTGTTAAACATACCCAGTAGCTTTTATTCTGAAGATTACCTATTTTGTGGTAGAGCTCTGGCAGCTGGACCTCCACTTTCTCTCTCTGGAAAAGATGGTACTCAGCTTGTTCACAGACTGGTGGGATCATATTGAACTGTCTTGCTACAGAATAGGCTTCCTAGGGAGGAATGAGATTACAACTGAATTTATACTGATGAGAAATGAGGCTTCACTGTAATTTGTATGCATGAGAAATGTTTACTTTGGTGAAATCAGTACAAACCAAGAAACATGTAGGATGCCAAATAATAAGCAAATTTGTCACCACCAATTTCACTAAGAGCAATATGAAATGTAGGAAACCCTTATTAATTTTTTGGGAGGGTTTGGATTGAGTTAAGTCCAGGGCAAATTAGTCAAAGTGTGAATTATACACTATGATAAAGAAAATGTAGTTTAACTATTTTTAAGTTCCTAAAGAAATAAGACTTAGACTAACATATAAAAGTATCTTTAACTAGCTTGGTATAAACAATGTAGTTAATACAGTTTTTTATAAGAAAACTAGAATACTCTGTTAATATATCTCCATAGCTGTGAAATTCACTTTGCCCTCTTGCCACCAGGGAACACCGTATTTTCTGTTCTATTCTGAATGGATGAGCTCCGGCTCCAATATCCATCTCTATAATGATGGAATTGGTTCTAGAATTCCAGTACCATAGTGATTATGAGAAAAGTTTGCAAAAGATCTTGCAATTTATGCATGGCATCTGAAAAGCAATAATAAGATACTCAATAACCATTTAAAAATAGAAGTTAAATTACCATTATCTCCATAGCACTCCACCTCGAGGTGCCCCAGTACATCGCCATGCCTTGGTTTATCACATGTGTCATGGCTCGGACAATTTCTATGGAAAGTCAAACAGACAACATTTCATGAATTCATCTACTTTTCAAAGGTAAGTGATTTTTACCTCTCTAGCCAAAGCCTAGAAGCTTAATGCAGTTATTTGTTTGATTAATAAAATTAGTCTAATATTGGTGACAACATTATTGTCTGACACGAAATATTGATGGTTTGGAGGCTGATGGTACTTTTAGGTAAACTGACATTCCATTTTCCATTTGCAGCAACAACACTAAATGGTATTGAAAATATAATGACCACTTTAAGTTCTTCCTTTACTTTTATTGCTTGATGATTCCTGGCCTAATAAAGAATACACGATTCACCTTTTTAAGAGCCTGGGTACCTTCCTCACTAAAGTGAGAAGTAAGAGAAGGTATCTGCTTTGACTTTGCAGAATGTAAGGTCATTGAGGGTGAAAGGCCTGTCTCTGTATATTGGACTTGCAGAGCATGGCCACACACAGAATGGGTCTCTAAGAGAGGTGACTCAATGACAATGTGTTTAGCAGAAAGATAAACATATTAAATGCTGAACAAACAGCTGAAGGCACAGTGGCTCACAGCTTGCAATGACACACCCTGTCCTTGATCACTTTGAACCAAATTTTGTCCTAAGACACCCCCATAACTGATTTCATTGGGGCCTGTTTGTGGTCCCACCCGGTGTGCTCATCAGCCTCATGCAGCTGAACATCACATTTCCTAAACAGGAAAATGAATCCCTTCCCCAGAGGATGGAGCTGAGCAAATCCTCTTGGCACCAGCCAGATGTGTTACGGAACAAGAGAGCATGGAGACCCTCAGTTTAATTTAGTTAAAATTTACAGACAGGGTTGGATTTCTTCCTCAAAGCAGGTCAGTTAAACACTCAGGATGCCAGGTCACTCGACATTTTCAAATAGTCACATGCCTTGGGCTTTTCTATTTCTCAGTAATACCAGTCAGTTAAATGCCCTTCAAAAGAACCAAATCCTTGTCTCAAAGTAGAGTTGCAGTAGATGTATTCTTTTTTCTTATTATTATTTCTCATGAGCAGGCACTGTCTAAATCGATAGGGAACAGGATTTGAATGAAATGGCCAGAGTCAGAGTCTTAGCTTCTTTGCTTGTTTGGCTTGTGTGAATTATTTTTAATCGCCCTTGATTTCTTTGTTTGGAAGATGGGAATGCTTTCATTCACCATTGTGTGTCCAACAGAGATAAAAGCTGGCTTTATAAGCAAACGTTTTCTTTCTTGGAGAAAGACTCTAGAATATCAAATTATTGCCCAGCAACTAAAACTATGAAGTTCATTCTGCATTTATAAAACATATGATTAAAAACGTGTAAGGAACCGCTTTTCTTCTCTTTTACTGTACAAATGGAGATGCATGCCTATGATAAACATTTCTAAAAATTGAAAACAATGATATGAATCTCCGCCCCAGATGAATTTTCTCTTTGGATGTCTCCATCACTGCACCAGCTCCCTTTCCCTTCACATCCTGTGTCATTCAGAGCTGGGAGTTCAGTCAATCAACAGTATCTATTAGGTGTCTGCTGTCCTGGGTGCTGGAGATATTGTGGTGAATCAAACATGCTGGTAAACATAGAAGAAGTTAACAGAAAATAAACTGGACCTGGCCTCTCCCTTAACTCTGTCTCCGCCATCAAGTAAGACAGGTCCAGAGTGCTGACAGGTGGCTTGGGCAGGTGGGAGTCCTTGACAAGAGCAGTGAAGATGGAGTGGAAGTTGTGACTCTTCGTGCGCACTCATTCAATTATACAACACACAGGTATTACAAGCTTAATATTTGCCAGTCACTGTGCTGGTTGCTGGGTTCATCTGTGAGTAAAACAGACACAAACTTCCTGGACTCAGAGAGTTTCAAGTTGAGTGGGAGAGACAGAGAGGTAAATAAGTAAGTCGTTATAAAATGTAAAGTGTTATAAAGAAAATAACATAGGGGACTGGGACAGGAAATGAAAGAGAAGACATATTTGGTGGAGTAAGGAAGGTCTCACTAAAGAGCAATCATGTTTAGGCATAAAAAAGCAAACAGGAGCCATCCATGTGAAGAACAGTGGAAGAGCATTCGAGGCAGATGGTATAGTATGTGCCAAGGCCCTGAGGAAGGACAGAGCTTAGCGAGTCCCAGCAATGGGAGGGAAGGAGGACGGGGGTGCAAGATAAAGTTGGCAGAGGGCAAACCATGTCATTTGTATGTTATTCAAGGTTTAATGATGCCATTAACATTTTATCAGGTAAGGGGATGGTAGGATAGAGTTTGCATTTCAGAACACTGTCTCTATGCTGTGGAGAATCATTAGTAACAGGGAGGACTGGAGGAAGTAGGAAAAGCTTGAGGAAGGTGTTGCTGTATTCTAGGCAGGAGATGAGGGTGATTTGTAATAGGGTGGTGGTGGCAAACATAGAGAGAGGTGGATGTATTCAAAATATAAGTTGAAGGCAGAATCCACAATACTTACAGATAGATGGGGTGTGGTGAGGGAAAGGGAGGGATTAAAGCTGTTTCCCAGATATCTGGTTGTTTACAGACATAAGGGAGACTCAAGGAGGAACATGTTTGGGAGAAAAATCAAGGGTTCTTCTTTGGACATGCGAAAAATGGAGATGCATGTGAGATACAAAAGGGGAGATGTTGAGCAGATATTTAATAGTTGGATAAATAAGACACTGAACAATCTGGGCCGGAGGTGGTATATACATTTATTAGTTACCAATCTATTGATCATATTTAAATTCATGAAAATGGATGAGCCTCGTAAGGAAAGTCTATAGAGAGAAAAGAGAAGAGGTTCTGATGGCCAGCCCAGGGGTTAGAGACAGGACCCATGCAGGATGCTGGGTAGGAAGGGCCAGCCAGAGGGGCAGGAAGGAAGCCGGCACACAGGGATGTGTCAGACCAAGAGCAGAGGGCACTTCAAGAGGGAGCTGTGCCCACAGGGTGGAATGCCGTGGACATTCATGTCAGAACAGCCCCAAACAGTATCCACAGGATTTGGCCACATGTAGGGAGATCACTGCGGACCGTGAGAAGAGCAGCTTCAGTGTCAGTGATGTGATGGGATCAAGCAAGGCTGGAGCCATTGGAACCACTCAGTGAAAGAATGAGTGGAAGAAGGAGAGGCCTTAAAGACAATGCATTCAATAAGTTTGGAAGAGAAACAGGACACGAGCTGACGGGACATTCAGGGTCACAGGACATTAAGAGTAAGCCTGTGTGCCATTTGGAGTGACCTAGGAAGAGGGAGTTATTGATGAAATGGACGGGGGGCTGGGAAGGAAGAGGGAGACTTGATAAAGGGAGAGGGAGGAGGGGCAGAGCCCCCATAGGTGGGAAGGACACTTCTGTCAAGATGATGGGACCCAGGGAGGTTTGTAGAACTCATCATGGGAAGACATGGGAGCACCTGTTTGATGAATTCTAGTCTCAATAAACTGTGAACCAAGTGTACAAGGAGGCGTGAGATGTGTAGCAGAAATGAGAAAAACGTGAGGAGAGCCTCTGCAAGGCACTCCAATGGCCAGGTCTTTTTGTTCCTGGTAGATTTTTCCTCACTGTTTAGCTTTTGACTCTGAAGAGAAAAGCTTGGTGGAACTGGGAAAAGAGAACTCTGTGAGTTCTTGTCCTGGAAGGAGGCTGCAACATCAAAACTAGGGAGAAACTGCAGGAGAACCAAGAGGCTGCAGTTTTGGAGATTCATGTTGCCATGAATTAAAATTTTATTCTATTTCAGAGAAAAATTTGTTTAGCTTACCAACAGGAAAGAACCATACTGATGGCTGAGGTGGGTTTTTACATGATTTGAATAATTAAGAACACTAGAGGGCAGCATTGCTGAAAGGAAAAATCAACTGTCTTCTAGATACTGCTGTTTTAAGTGTATAACATGGAGATGCATTTTAAAAGCCCCCTAGACAGAGTAACAATTCTGAGTGGGGAAAGGATGTTAGAAAGGTAGTTTAGTGCACCGCGTCAGCTGCCTCTGGGAAAGGAGACTCAGACGAATGTGATTAAACCTGATAACCTAGTACTGAATGTGACTCTCCTGCTCTGAACTCCTTCCCCAGTTTTCTAGAAGCCTTAACCCCAGTGGTTCGCAACTCCAACTGCATATTAGAAACACCTGGAGTGGGGGATTTACAACTACCCATGCCCAGGCTCCACTGAAATTCTGTTATATTAGAATCTCTTGTGGGTGAGGCCCCAGCATCGATGATAATTTAAAAACTCATCCCAGATGATGATTCTAGTGTGCAGCCAGGATTTAGAACCAACACGCTTGTCTACACCAATGGTCTCGGGGTATAGCTTCTGGACTAGCAGCAGCAGCAGCACCTGGAAACTTGTTACAAATGCAAATCCCAGGGCCTCACCCCAGACCTAGTAAATTACAAAGTCTGCATCTGTGTTTTAAGTAGCCTTTCAAGTAATGCTGATACACACTGCTTTATACTATTCCCAAGCAAGCCATTTCAATGGGTACGAACGTCTTCCTACATTTCCGCTTTTGCTTTTTTATCTAATCCAAGTGCTTCATGCTATAATCTTTAGTTATTTGCCTTAGTACATAAGCAAGGAGCTAGTATGATATCTATGCTGTCTCTCTGTCTCTGCTCTGAATCAGAACCGCCTGGGAAGTTTGATAAAAATGCTGAGGTCCAGGACCTATAGCCTCCTTCAATGAGCCAGGGCCTTTGCACTATTTTCATTAGCTCTCAATCACAAACTTTTAGAAAAACCGACTAAACTATTGAAAGACTTTGTGAAATCTTCCCTCTGCACTCCTTTCCAAGTTGAAATAATCATTATTCTTTAACCTAGTGGTGCCTCCCCAGGGCTCACCCGCCACAGGCAGCTCTCACACATACTCCCTGTATCCTTAGCACAGAGGTGGCTCCCTATAAATGCTGCAGGTCCATTTTGTTTCCTTGAGTACTGAATTTCCTTCTGTAAATTGAGAAATGATATGGATGTTGTGAAATTCTTTCAAAG